ATGTTCATCAAATCTTTCCATTAATCAATTGAAATTTCCATAATAACTTTTTGGCATATTCATATTTGAATTCAGCATTAATTTAGTCATAATAAATGCATATTTGTTTATGTCTTTGATTATTTATTAAGAATAAAATTTTTAATTAAATTGTTATTTATTTTACAGCCAAAAGGAGACGATGAAAGTCAACCTGAAGTAAAAATTAATTATTTAATAAATTAATTAATTGATTGGTTGGTTGGTTGATCAATTGATTGATTGGTTAGTTGGTTGGTTAATTAGTTGGTTGGTTTGTTGATTGATTAATATATTGATTGATTGGCTGGTCGATAACATTAATGTTTTCTACTCTGGTTTGTGTAATATGACATGATGTGATGTTATTTGACACGATGTAATTGGACGTAATGTAATTTGGTTTGATGCAATTAGAAAGATTTCAATGAGATACAATGTGATATTACGTGATATCACATTATGTGATGTGATTTAATGCCATATGTTCCACTGTTGTGTGACCATCATAGAGATTCAATGCAATACGGTCAGCCACAAACATCAACAGATCTGCGAGGGATATATTTATTATAAAATTTTAAAAATACGGATATAAAGAAAGAATGGTGACGAGGACGATGATGATGACGATGAAGATGTTAAGGATGATGAGGACGATGACAAGGATGATGAAAATGCAGATGACGAAAATGATGACGACGACGACGATGGTTATGACGTCATCGTAAGTGTAGTGTTGATGAATGTGAAAACAATTTTATATACATAAATCCAAATTCATCCACCGATATAAAATTTAGTATTAACAGCATTTTTAGTTTTATTTAGGGTACAAAATTTTGTAAAAACAAAATCCTTCAATATTCTTGATTGTTTTTCCGTTTTGCTTTTGTAATGAATTGTCTAAAAAAAACTAAAAATTCAAAAAAAAAAACAAAAACTTTTCAAAGGCCAACCCGTCAGAAATGTTCAACACTGACAAAGCAGGACCATACGGAGGAGTCCAACAATTACCCAGTGCAAGTGCTGTTGTAAGTCAATCACACTCTTTTATTTCTTATTATCTGACATTTTAGCACTTAGATTCAAATGCCTAGGATTCATTTATTTTTATATCTAAAAACACCAATCATTTTAATATTATTAAGTGATTTATTATTCACAAACTTTTTTTAATTTTGTTAAATTAAGTTTTTTTTTTTATTTTTTCCCGAAGGGTCAACCAGGACCACGCGGACCACCAGGACCTGTTGGTCTTCCGGTTAGTGATCAACACTTTCCTAATCCAATCTCAATCTTTTTTCAATATTTTATCAACCTTTTTTAAAATCTAATCCCAATCTTTTTTTGATCTTTTTTCATTTTATTTATTATCAGGGGCCACAAGGTTACCCTGGTACCAGAGGAGAGCCAGGAGAGGCCGGACCACTTGTGAGAATTTTGTTTCCCAATCGATAATTTATTTTAATATGTTAATAATTTATTTATTTTTTGCTTTTTTTTATCGACAAAAGGCTTTTTATTTTTATTTTAATTTAATCCGTTTACTAAATTATCAGAGTATTTTGCTTGTTAATAAAATAAAAATTAAACAATTCAAGTTTTTAAAAAACTTGATTTAAATAATTCTTAGGGACCACCAGGCCCTCGTGGGTTGCCAGGACCAGCTGGAGCTCCAGGAAAGGATGTAAATCCACTTTTTGCAAATTCTAATTTAATTTTTTTTTTCTAAATAAAAAACATTTCAATAATTACTTTATTAACAATTTACTTTTAAATCAGTTATACTGATAACCTTAGAACGTTTTAAATTTTAATAGTCTCCTATATGATTTTTTAATTATCCAGGGTTATCATGGGCGTGATGGTGATCCAGGCCCGAAGGGACCACCCGGACCACCAGTGAGTACCCCATTAACCTAATCATTATCACCACCATTTCCATATTATCACCGTTCGTTATCATCACCATCATCTTCTTCGTCGTCGTCATCATCACATTTGCTGTCATCACCATAGTTATTACCATCATGATTTTGTTCACTATCAAATTATCATCACAGTCATTAGTATCATCGTTATCAACGCAATCTTTATTGTTCTTAGTTTCAAGTGTCTTCATCGTCATTATTCGTATCCTTGTCATCCTTATAAGTGATTTCATTTGAATCATTGATGACATCACATGTGACATCATTTGTATCATCGTCATATTTCTTATAGGGCGTCAATGGAATGAACGGAGCACCAGGAGCGCAAGGAATGAAAGGTCACAGGGTTAGATGCATTTTATTCTTTCTTACATTTTTTCGATCTATATTTTTTTTACAATTATCTATTTATTTACCCTTAAAATGAAATTAGTTTTAATTTATTTAAAATTTGCGTTTGAATTTCAAGATCCTCCATCTACATACTTTTTGAATTTTGCTTTTGTCCGTCATTTCATTTTTTAACTTTTTGTCACAAATTGAAAAATTTTTCAACAGGGTATTCCAGGAATCGCCGGACCAAGAGGAGAGCCTGGCAAAGTGGGAGAGAGGGTAAGTTGTCGTTGATATTACTGATGTTATTGTTTTCCATCGTCGTAGCAGTCGCTTTGCTGCTAGATTTTCTACTGTTGTTTCTTGCGATTGCATTTATATTTTTGCTTCTGTAATGCAGTCATCTTGCGGAGTTGTTATGATTTTCATTGCATCTCTTCTGTTACGTCATACTTACTTTAACATTAATATTTTTTACAGGGTTAAAACTAAAAACAGTTTTATAATACATAATTGTTTTTAAATAACTGCTCCAATATGTGATGCTAAACTTTTAAAAAATTTGATTCCAGGGACCTGATGGACCAGCCGGACCCGTTGGTCACCAGGGAAGCCCCGTAAGTTATACTCACAATTCACGTCATTTTGCATACAAATGCATGAAATTTTATTTTTAATGATCCAATGTTACGTTGCGTTAGGGTGTTTTGTAATCAATAGTTAATTTTTTCCTTCCAAGAACCTACGCTTGTGTTTATAGACGAGTGTTACTGACTAATTCTTCCATTAAATTGTAGGGCGTCCGTGGAGCGCAAGGAGAGAGAGGAAGTGATGGCAAGGAAGGACCCGCCGTGAGTTTTTCTCTCAATTCATCTGCTTTTTTAAAATTTCATATTATATTTTCAAAAACTTTTTATAATTATTAAATACACCAAATTATTTGTCAAACATTTACAGTACAAATAAATTATAAGATATCATAATTACTAAGACACCGTTAGTTTACCGCGCCTTATTGGATTTTAATTTACAGGGGCCCAGAGGAGCTGACGGCAAAACCGGAGTAGCTGGCCCACAGGGACCCCAGGGACCCATTGGCGCCCCCGGAGAGGCTGGACAAGCTGGACCAAAGGTGATTGTTTACTTTTAACAATAGTGTAGATTGCACCTTTATCAATATTTTATATTTTTTTATTTGTTTTTCATTTATTTATTTATATGCTAAATTGGAAAAATCTTTAAGCGTATTAAAATTAATTTCAAATGTATGTTCATCGTGTTACAAACAATTTGATAGGGAGACACCGGTGCAGCTGGAGCCAGAGGTCTTCCAGGAGTTCAAGGTCAGCCAGGGCTAGTTGGACCTGCTGGAGCCCCAGGAGAGGCCGGAAGAGCTGTGTGTAGTATTTTTTCTTTGCTTCATTATTTGTACTTTCATTTCGAATCTTTAATTACTCTCTTTTTAATTATGTTAAATATCATCAACTGGAAGACGAGTTGTTGATCAAAAAATAAATATTTATTTATTTATTTATATACTACTTGCTTATTCAATGACATTAATATATATGAAACTACTCGTTTATAATGAACAAATTGTATAAATGATCAAGATGATTGTGTGATGATTTTTTTAAACAGGGGTCACCCGGTTCTGATGGCTCGCAAGGGTCTAGAGGAGAGAGAGTTAGTAAACTCTTTGATCCTAGAAAAATATTTTTCATTTATTTTATAAAATTTTGCGAACGTAATTTTTCATAATTGTTTAAATATTAACGTTGTGAAATGGAATGTATAAAAGATGAGAGTAATGAAAAAACATTGAAACCAGGGAGAACAAGGAGCTCCAGGAGCGCCAGGAGCTGCTGGTCTGCCAGGAGCGACAGGTATGGTCGGACAGCCTGGACCCGCTGGTCCCAAGGGGGAACCCGTTAGATGGATTGAATATTTCAATCATTTTTTTAAATTTATTTTTAGCTTTTTCATATTTTTTAACTATATATTTTTCATTTTTGTTTTGAAAATTTTTAATACAGTGCGCTACGTATTTTTTGATTGAACAATTGATTGATGACCGATTGATTAACGACCGATTGATCAGGGTGCGGCCGGAGCCACAGGCCACCCCGGAGATGCAGGTGCCAAGGGTTTGCCAGGCCCACAAGGAGACAGGGGAGAGTCAGGAAAGCCAGGAGAGGCTGGCAAAAGAGTCAGTTGTCAATGTTTAATTTTTGTGGTTTTATTAGAATTACCAAGATTAATATTATTTGTTGTTCATAAAAATTTTTCCTATTTAAAAATTATAAACTTTTTGTCTGCATTAACAACCAGGGAGCACCGGGCGTAGTTGGACCGCAAGGAGCTCCAGGACCGATGGGAGACAAGGTCAGATTTTTTTTTCATTATGGCAAATTGTTCCAAATTTATTCGTCAGTTGTACACCAGCTCCACACACTTCTCGCCGTACATTCATAGGCATGTTAGATTGTTCGTGTAAGCGTTGAATCATCGGCGCCGGGTATGATAGTTTTATGGGACAGACTCACCTAATGCACTTATTCAAATACATTTGATAGTTAAGACAAAGTTAAATACCATCAAGTAACGAGTGCTTAACAAAACAGTGCTTGCCTATTTTTGCCCGATTATTTTACGCGCAGATTTCATTGTAATTTTTATATTTGATTTAATTTTCAGGGTGTTCAAGGAGAGAGAGGTAGTCAAGGACCCACCGGAGCACCTGGACCAGCAGGACCCGTCGGTGCTCCAGGTCTCGCCGGAGAGATGGGAGCCAAGGGACCCGAGGTGTGTGCAGTTCACGATTTTTTTATTAATGATATATTCACACAGCCTATGATTGTACAAACATGTTTTATTTTATTTATGATTTTGATGTAATTTTTTATGAACCGTAAAGAGATTTTCATATTGTATAAAAATTTGCGTTAATTCTGCAGTAAAACTTCAGCATGCTTTTATCCCTAATTAAAGATGAAACAGAAACAATTTTGCGAATATGTTACTTTAGTAAATGCTGAAGAAACCTTATTTTGAATATTTTAGGGAGACAAGGGAAAGAAAGGAGCTCCTGGTTTGGTAGGATTGCCCGTAAGTTGAATTTTTTTTTCTTCAAAATTTCATTTGCTATATTTCAGGCGTTTCGTTTACCATTCTTTTCATTCAGTTCACAAGATGCAGTTATGATTTTACTGAAACACCTTTATTAAAAATAATAATTTCAACGTTAACGGTGCATTACAGGGAATCGCAGGCATGCCAGGGACAGATGGAGCTGAAGGCAAACAAGGCGCCGTGGTAAGCTGCATCGCTTCATCTTTTTACAACTTACGTGAATATTTATTCACCAATTAAAAACCAATATCGCACAATACATTTTGTAATCAAGGCAAAATACACTTCAACCTAAATAATTATTCATTGAAATTAAATATTAACTACCCTCACAAACGTAGGGAGCTCCGGGAGTGAAGGGACAAGATGGAGAACAGGGGCCACAAGGTCTGCAGGGCCCCACTGGTTTTCAGGGTGCCGCCGGTATTAAAGGATCCACTGTTAGTTATGACAAATAGAAGCTCATTATTATTTTTTATAAAAGTTTATTTTTTCGTTATAACTATCTGAAATTTTACATAATGTTCGCAATTCGCTCGTGCATATTTCAACTTAACAATTAATTAACACGATAATAAGCTATAATAAAGTTTGTGTAAAATAACAACTTTAATTTGATTAAACTATTTTTTATAAAGGGTGCCGACGGAAAAGACGGAGCTCCAGGACCACAGGGAGCCGTGGGACCAGCTGGCGAGAAAGGGAAGGATGGAGAGCAAGGACCGCAAGGAGCTCCAGGAGTTGATGTCAGTAGAATTTTCAAATTTTCATTTCAATAAAACAAATTTTCATTTCAAATTTGATATATAAGTAACTTAATAGAAACTGTTTTTAACAGAATTTTATTGATTTAAATACTTTGAATATTTGCCGTCAATATTCTAATTGATAAGTTGATCACAAGTATGTTATAATGTAATAACATTTCATCGATCGCTACAGAACCTGTTCTTGTATATTTCTACGAAAACTGTTTCTAAAATTAAATATTTTATATTTATTACTAAATATTTATTAAAAATATTTGAATAATATTAAAAATTCAAAGTACAATAATTATTTTTGAAGGGTGGTAAAGGAGAGGCTGGAGATGTGGGAGAGAAAGGACCAATGGGTCATCAAGTAAGTTCATGATAACGATGATGGTGGTGATGATGATTAGATGACGATGATGGTGAGGATGAAGATAATGTCGATGTTGACGATGATGACGATGACCATGAAAAAAATTACAACGTTGATAACAAATTGACGATGATTATATTCAACGATGATCTGATAAATAGTGATAAAAATAAATTTTGAAATCAATTTGTTCTATCTGAACCTTCATTGGAAACAAAATTGAAATCGTTTATACGTCAACCATTACGGAAAACGTGAATAAGTTGATTCATCTTAATTTAAATGTGAAAAGAGTAAAAATATCAAATGTGAAAACACTAAAATAACTTAACCAGGGACCAACCGGAATTTCAGGAGCACCTGGCAAACAAGGAAAAGCCGGAGACAAAGGAGCCCCAGGTCCCGCAGGTCCCACCGGAGCTCCAGGACCAGCTGTTAGTAATGGTGTTGTTGTTGTTGGTGGTGATTACCAAGTTGTTGTCGTTGATTGCAATGGGGATGATGATAAGATGATAATAGGTGATATTATTATTGTGGCTGATTGCAACAAAGAAAATTTTGTAAGTTAATATTTGAGCAATTTATAAGTTTAAACTTTTAATATTACAAAATAGTTATTCCACGACTATATATTTTTGTTGCTGCGTTGCTAAGCATAGAAATAATTATAAAAATGAACATGACGTCATCAGGGAGTCAGAGGAGCTCCAGGAGACAAGGGAGAACCCGGAGATGTTGGAGGCGATGGCGAGAAGGGAGTTCAAGGTCACGAAGGGCCAGCTGGACCACAAGTATGTTGTTGTTCGTTGTGTCATGTTGTTATCTGCTGTGTCACGTTGTTCGCATGCGGTTGTTTGCTGTGCCATGTTGTTCGTTTTATATTTCACGTTGTCCCTTGTTGTTGTTTGTTCCTTTTGTTATTGTTGTTGTTTGTTTTTTGCAATTGCTTTTTTTATTAAAATGCAGTATGGTTTGTGTTATTCTAAATGTTTTCGTTATCCACAAAAAGTTTTTTATTCAAATTTTTAAACAGAAAGCAGGTTTTGTTATTTTGAAAATATAACTTGTCGTCTTCAAATTTTCCTAATTCATCAGATAACAAAAATAATGAATTAAAATAACAAAACGACTTGTTTAATTTTCAAAATAGTCAGATCTTTTTAACATAGAGTTTTTTTAATAACGTAGGGTGCCAAAGGTCCCCAAGGAGATGATGGTGATGAGGGAAAAGCCGGTCTGCAAGGACAGCCCGGCCCTGCTGGTGACACCGGTGAGCCGGGAGATAAAGGACCACAGGTTTAACGTTGTTTAAATATGATCTTCCTAAAAATTCAATCAAATTAATTTCAATTAATTTCAATTAGAAACCAAAATAGCTTCTATAATTTTGAAATTTTGATAAATCTCCAAAAAAAACTATAAACATACTTGCTTACATTCTTCAGGGAGCTCCTGGCCCCAAAGGTAGAACTGGATCTCCAGGCAAAATGGGAGCACAGGTATCTTTTTTTGTAACAGCTGTATTTTATGTTTGTTTAGTTCTTGGTAGATTTTCAAAACATTTTTTGTATAAACTTGTAATTCATTCCGAACAAATGTTATTTTTAAAATTGTAAGTTTAAATAAACATGTGCTTGACAAAATTAGGGTGCCCGTGGTACTCCAGGATCTATAGTTTTGGCTGAGGGTTCTGCTCAACCAGGAGATGAAGGACCACAAGGTTGGTTGGTCAGGTGGTTGTTTGGTTGATTGGTTAGCCAGCTCCTTAATTGGTGAGTCGGTTGTCCAGTTTTATAGAAAGCTGACTGCTTAGACCTAATAGGTTTTAGTAGATTTGCATAATTTGTCTGGTTGATTGTTCAGCTAGTTTGTTGATTGGTCAGTTGCATTGGATTGGTTAGTTGGTTGTTAGTCAGTTGTTTGGAGTTCAATTCAATATATGTTTGAAATTTTAAACTCTGTCCTTTCGATGACAACAAAATTTTCAAGTATGTCATACCATTCCCTCTATCAACAAATATATTAACATACTGACTAACAACAAAAAAACGAACGAACGAACAAAAAACGAATGAACAAACGAACGAACGTAGGTTTAACTGGAGAGGCTGGACCACAAGGACCCCAGGGGAATAGAGGGCCAACAGGACCAATAGGCAAACCAGGTCCCGCTGGAGTTGTTGTAAGTTTAAGTTTAATGTTCCTATGTTTTATTTTTAGACTGTAACGAGAGGTGTACTTCATAGCAGATGTGCTAATTATTTGTTTATTTACGTTCAGATTGATAATTTATTTTGTATCTTTGCAGGGACCAACTGGACCTCAGGGAGAGAGAGGTGACACGGGAAACCAAGGACCAAGAGTCAGTTCATTTCGATTGCGCATGATTTGTTTCTGCTAATTTGCCATAAAACAAAATTAATAACGTATTAAAATTCTTAATTGACTCAGATGTGTTAATAAATGACGTTTATCAAGTAAGAGTTTAAAATATTTGTAATTTTACTACAGGGTGTAGCTGGAGGTGCAGGACCAAAGGGAGAGAGGGGAGCTCCAGGTCCCCAGGGTAGGGAAGGCCTAATCGGTGCCCCTGGATCAAAAGGCTAGTCAGCTGAATATTCAGTTCAGATAGGGTTCTTTGTAAACTGACATTATAATTGAACACGGAAAATACAATATCAATTATTAAAAAATCTTGAAAATAATTAAATTTGGCATTTTCATTGAATGATGAACCAGGACCAAAGGGGGGAACTGGAGAGGCTGGACCACAGGGACCTCAGGGACCGGCTGGAGCTCCAGGACCCGCTGGAGATGCTGGACCTCAAGGACCAAGAGGAGCTCCAGGAAAACAAGGGCCTAAGGTTTTTTTCATATTTACAACGATGTTTGTCTTATTGATCACAGTATTCAACGTTTAATATTTTGTGCTTTTTGCATTTGACGATAGTTTTGTTCTGATTGCGGACAAAATTGTTAATTAATAATTATTTGAAATAAAAAAAATTTAATTTGATGATTTCTGTTTTCAGGGTTTCCGAGGTGAGGAAGGACCACGTGGTGAGTCTGGTTTACCTGGTGCTGCTGGCGAAGACGGCAAAGATGGAGAGAGAGGAGAGAGGGGAGAAGTCGGATTGCCAGTCAGCATACACGCTTCAATTGATTAGATTTATTATTTTAACTGTTATTTACTGATTTAAACGTTTTTATTTTAATAATATACGTTGAACATTAGATGTTGAATAACTATTAAATCTATATAACCATGAAAACCAATGAAGGGCCCAGCAGGACCTCAGGGTAAAGCAGGTCAAGATGGAGACAAAGGAGAGTCTGGCGTTGTTGGAGCTGTTGGTCTTCCAGGTGCCTACGGAGCAACAGGAGCTAAAGTACGTTCTCATTCTTACACGTTTGTTGGTTTTTTTCATGCTCAAACCAAATAAAAATTAAATTCCAAATATTGTCAAATATAATTTGTAGGGAGAACCAGGCGCTCACGGAGACCAGGGTGACAAAGGTGACAGAGGTTTGCCAGGTGACCAAGGACCTCAAGGATCTCAAGGAGCTCCAGGAGAAAAAGGACCCGAGGTATAAACGTTTCCGTATCATCGTCATTAATATTTTTTAATTTTCTTCTGTCTGACATAATTGATTGTTTTATTTCCAATTTATTTTATTAACGTTCAGGGCGTTCCAGGAAAAGATGGACCACAAGGAGCTCCAGGTAAACAAGGAGAAAGAGGACCAACTGGTCCAGCTGGACAAGTTGGTGCACCAGGTCACGTTGGACCTCAGGGAGGAGTTGGAGCCCCAGGTGCTCAAGGTCAACCAGGAGAGAGAGGAGAAAGGGTAAGTGACGTTGGTTGGTACGATGATGTCGATGATGAGCATAGCAACGATGATCTGATGATGAAGTAAATGGTGTTTGCAGTATCAAAAGATGATGCCTCAGTAATGTAATTTTTTCTGTTCAGGGCGAACAAGGTCCCACAGGAGCTCAAGGACCAGTTGGACCAGCTGGACCTCAGGTTTGTCCTCTTGGCGCAATTATTTTGTAATAATTGACATTTCACAGAGTTTGGTAATGCATATTTTGGAATATCTTCATCGTAACGGTTACTTTATTTAACGCAAATGAATGAGTTTGAATGAATTGCAGGGCAAACAAGGTGAACACGGCGCTAAAGGAGAGAAGGGAGAGGCAGGAGATAAGGTTTGCTAGCTAATTTCATTATTTCATAAAATATCACTAACTCCTAATTTTGTTGAAATGTTTAAAATAACATGATATATTCATGAAATAGCACTAGTTTCAAGTTGTGTTAAATAATTATTTTTTTTATAAACTTTGTTAAATTTTTGTGGGACAGGGCGAGCCAGGATTCCAAGGTGTGACAGGACTTCCAGGACCAAGAGGACCACAAGTTTGTACATGTTCAATTTGTTGCTTGTTAGCTCGGCAAATTAATTTAATTTATTGTATTTCAATTTCTTGACAATTTTATTTAGCATTATTATTGTTGATTCAATAACATATAAAAATGAAATTGCATAAGCGAGTAAAACGTGACGAGCAATAAAGCCGGTTAACAATAATGGAATAATGATTTGATTTGATGAACATGAACAATGACGAAAATAATGTGACATGATGAACAAATGGTGATGGTGGCTGTTTATGGTTGATGAACATTTCAGGGAGAAGCCGGCTCTGCTGGAGCACCTGGACCATCTGGAGCTGATGGAGCCAGAGTATGTTTGTTTTTTGTTACTATTTCTTTGATTATTATTAGTAGTAGTATTAATATTTTTGTGATTTTTTACTTTTTGTAATGCGTTGATTCACGCGTGTTTACCAGCGTTGTACGTTGGTTGCTGATACATCTGAGAATTAAAATAATTAAAAATAATTTAATAATAAAGAAAGGGTTTTATTAAATTTCTGACCTAAATAAACAGGGAGAACCAGGACCTCGTGGATCGCCAGGTCTGCCAGGTAAGGATGGACATGCTGGAGTCCCAGGCGGAGTGGTAAGTGCAGCCGGCATCAATTTCAAGTTTTTAAACATTTTAACAACTTTTTTTAATTTTTAGTCATACATTTGATGAATTTGAACTTCATAAAAATCAGAATTATAACTTGATGACCACCGTAATTATTTTTTGTCCACAAGGGACCTAAAGGACCAGTCGGAAACACGGGAAGATCAGTAAGTTCTCCTTCGATTCAATTTTAAGATTTTAATCATTTATTAAAAACAGCAAAATTGAAAAATAATCTATAGTGGAAATTGTTTTACATCTTAATCATGGAAATAATTTTGCACCACGCAGGGACCGGTTGGGCCGGCAGGACCTCCAGGCCCTGATGTTAGTTTTTAACTTTTATAATCTTTTCAAAGATTACTTCTTCCTTCATCTTATGAATTATTATTCTGACTACATCTATAAAACATTGTTTTGCTCCCGCTGGGCTTCTTGTACGTTGAAAAGCGTCACTAATGTCTCTTCGGAAATGGCGTTACCTACGCAAGTCATTGGAATTCATTGACTGCTCTTTTCATTTCTCAAAAGTATTCAAAGCATATTACGACTTATCTACTTATCTACTCTTTCGTTTGTTTGTTTAGTTTCAACATATGTTAGACAATATTTTTAAACAAAAATAACCTACCCTAACGACAACAACAGGGTGAAGACTACCACGTGTCCTCCGCCATGGGTTACGTTGCCTCCCAGTACAAGGGACCTTCCGGATACGTACGATTTGTTCCTTTCCAGTTTTTAAATATTTTCTTCGTATATTTCACGAAGTTTAATTTTATTCAACAGATTCCCAACTATTAACATAAAATGAACAATAAATTTAGTTTACTAACAAATTATTTATTTTATCTTCAGCAATATGATGAGCCTAAACAAGAGACACTGGAGGTTAATTGATACGCTTTAAGTATCCACTTTTTATATTTCTAATAACTTTCTAAACTTGTTTTGTTCTTTATTGAAAGCTTCTTTTGTAAAGTGACGTAAAATCTGTTTTTCTTTTCAATCAGAGACACAGAAACTTCGGCAGAATTGGCAAGCTGATCGACTTAGTTAAACAAACGCTGGGAACAAAAGAATCGCCAGCCAGAACATGCAGGGACCTTTTCCTTGCCCACCCAGACTTCACGAGTGGTAAGTTTGATTCATGATTCTCAGCACGACTGCGAATTTCTAGTTTCATAATAAAACCCGCTATTCATTCACCAATAATTTATTTTGTAATTTCCTCTATTGCAAGGTATGTACTGGGTCGATCCCAACGAGGGAATCGTTGACGATGCCTTCGAAGCCTACTGCGACAACGAGAACAAAGCCACCTGCATCAACGCCAAACAACAATCTATCGACAAAGCCACATGGTACACTGGACCAACCAAGAAGACTTGGTTCGGTGAAGAAATCAGAGAAGGCAGCACCGTTAGTAGTAAAAACAGTTATTGCATGTTCCATTCCATTCAAATAAACATTCACATTCTATTGTGAAATGATTTAATGTTGCCGTTAACTTCCAGCAGATCACCTACCAAGCCGCTCTTCCTCAGATTCAATTCTTACAAGTTCTCAGTTCTCACGCCAAACAAACCTTCACATACTTGTGCAAAAACTCAGTCGCTTACATGGATCCAGAATCGAGCACCGACAGTGCAATCGTTTTCTCGTCTGCTGATGATGAGGAACTTGGCCCACTCGGCAGAAACCGCTACTCCGTTAAACTCGACGAATGCAAAGTTTGTTATTACTGAAGATTCATAAAAAAATATTATTGCAAAACAACCAACTTCCAACTTCCAATTTATATTTTTAACATAAGAACAGTTCAGGTCAACCAAACATTTCAAAACTTTTTCGTGGTCATTAATTCCCAAAAATAATTTAAACTTTTTCCAGAACAAATCTTCGTCTTGGGGGAAGACCATCTTCGAGTTTTCAACAGAGAAACCAAACCACCTCCCAGTTGAAGACTTCGCTCCGTCAGACATCGGTGCCGACGATCAAGCCTTTGGTCTCGAAATCGGACCAGTTTGCTTCTCGTGAATCAGTCATCTGCTTGATTAGTTGATTGGTATATCGACCGATTGGCTGATATACCAGTTGATTTATTAATTGTATACTGATTTTTATTTGTCCACCTTTAATTAAAATTACACATAGGACTGTTTGTTTGGTGTAACGATTAAATGAATAAATATAAAGAGGGTTCTAAATAAATTTCTAATGATGAATGATCGATAGAAGAGAAGATTGCAAGCCATCACGGATAACCACTGTTGATTACGTTGTTGATTTGATTATTTAATCTAATTTTTAATGGTTTGGAACATGTGAAAATAAAGTACTAATACAATATGACTGCTTTTACCTCAAAACTAAATAATTTGCTCACAAAACACACTTAAATGTAGTAATGAGATGGCAATGTCCACACTAAACGATCAGTTAGATTTTTAACAATCGCCATAATGAAATGTTATCAAATTTCTAAATGTAAAAACAATTAAAAATTAATTGAACTTGCTTTCTGAAAATCTTATAAGTACGTAGAAGAAAGATGGCTGCAAAATAAATACAAAATTTTTAATTTTTCCTGAGCGTATCGTGACTGGCATACTAGAGTTCTTAGATTGGATCTATGACGCCCAAACAAATTAAACATGAATTGGTTTAATAACTGATTACTTGATTGAATGGTAACAAACAGCTGCAATTCGTTTCTACCGATTAATAATGTACTAAAAAAGAGTAGACTACATGTTTTTAAATGATATTAAGAAATAAAACTCAAACGTTATCAGCGCTCAAATTTTAAGTAGAGTTTAGTAACTGATCTACCTGAGCACACCATTTTTTAACAATTAAAAATAGGGATGTACGGTGGTGTCTCCTCAATGAATTTATAGCAATCGTCACATGCCACAGAAACTTGATACAAAACGGAAGCAGAAGGAAGGGAATGATGAGATGTTGAGTAATTGCTAACGGTTAAATAGTTTTAGTAATAACATTCAGCCCATCATTTCACTGGAACACCTCCAGTCAGAAAACGATCATCGCAGAACCTCAACACCTTTTAGCAGCATAACATATTATAATTGAAGAGACATTACAAAAAGTTCTTCAACGTAGTAACATTAAACAAATCAAACAAATTAATCGCCAGTCACCATCAATGACCTATGCACAATGTTTGAAGATAATTTAATTTTAACAATTTTATAATGGAATACAAATTCAAATTGAAAACAATCAAGGATAAATAAATAAATAAATATATATATATGTGTTGGTAATAGACCATAATTTTTACAATATTCTATAAATTCTACCGAATGTTTGGCGTTAATATGTTTGTAGTTCGTTTTTTCGATTTTTCTCACTAAAGTTTTTTGGTGAACGTTTAGTTTATTAAAATTCAAAATAAACTTATTTTTCGAATTCATGCTGCAAATAAGGCCATATTTCGATTCCGAATGAATCATCGTCAGTGCTCCTTGCTGTATATATAGGTAAATATTGACTTTGTCAAGATTAACTTTGACGTTGTAAAAATTAACTTTGGTGTTGTAAAATTGAACTTTGATGCGAATTAGGTGTCAGGTTTCTTAATTGGCTGGTCATCTTCTTTGGTCTCCTTTTCTTCATCGATAGCATCATATTCTTCTTTGTCACTATTTACGATGCTAGTCTTTATTACTTCTTTGTTTTCGTTGTCGCTTTAACTCAGTTATCTCTAGGACTGCAGTTGTTTTTCAGTATTAGGTGAGACGTCTTTTTATTGTTGTAATAAAATCGGAGTTTAACTTTACTATTTGGGTTGGTTGGTGTGACATTTTTATTGATGATATGCTTAAGAATAGCTTCATCTACCTTGTATGCTGTTGACATGTGATTTCTGTAATACAAGATGATGTCGTTATCTTGATTGTTGGTACTAGGAAGGTTATTGCTGTGTAGTAATTTGTTTTTAACAATCTTTTCAATAGAGTAAGTCTTATATCCATTGTTTACAAGCAGGTTAGTGACCCTCTTTAATTCAGCGTCACGATTTTCAATTCGAATCCGAATTTATTACAACAATAAAAAGACGTCTCACCTAATACTGAAAAACAACTGCACTTCTAGAGATAACTCTGAGTTAAAGCGTAATCACGTAATATATGAATTTAATTGCCCCTTTGACGGCTGTGCACGTCAACAAGACTCATATATCGGGATTACTACTACCTCACTGACTAGAAGGCTTACGATGCATAAACAGAGTGGTGCTATCAAATCTCATTTGGACTCAACACACTCAATCACAATTAGCCGTGAAATCCTCGACAGCAACACCAAAGTAATATACCAGAATAGCATCTTAAAGAGAAGCAGTCCTAATCGACATCAATAAACCAAAAATAAATATACAACAAAAAATGACAACCTCAATTCCAACCCGGCGCTTAACCAACAACGAAAACAAAGAAGTAATAAAAACTAGCATCGTAAATAGTGACAAAAAAGAATATGATGCTATCGATGAAGAAAAGGAGACCAAAGAAGATGGCCAGCCAATTAAGAAACCTGACACCTAATTCGCATCAAAGTTAATTTTTACAACGTCAAAGTTAATCTTGACAAAGTCAATATTTACCTATATATACAGCAAGGAGCACTGACGATGATTCATTCGGAATCGAAATATGGCCTTATTTGCAGCATGAATTCGAAAAATAAGTTTATTTTGAATTTTAATAAACTAAACGTTCACCAAAAAACTTTAGTGAGAAAAATCGAAAAAACGAACTACAAACATATTAACGCCAAACATACGGTAGAATTTATAGAATATTGTAAAAATATACATATATATATATATATATATATATATATATATATATATATATATATATATATATATATATATATATATATATATATATATATATATATATATATGTGTGTGTTAGCAATGTGTATCTACTTGATTATTTAACAATTATTAAACAAATTGACCAAAATGGGAATTGATGAAGAAGTGTACATTCTATTTACAGAACATTTAGACAACAACATGCAGTGTTATTTACTGTGAATTGTGATACTTGGTAAGCTTATTGGTGCAACCAATCAACACCAACAATATCCTGCCTCATTTTCTTTCGGGGGTTTCAATTTTAAAGCATCACCAGAAGATGATGTCAGAAACATTGGTTTGGAACTGTGAAGTTTGTGGGCTAATGTTAAAAAAATCGACTCGACATGATCAGCTTTGGAATTATCTTTAGCTGAAGTTTCAAACAATGGCATCTGACGCCCGTCAGCAAATCGTTGAGCTAAACTAGTGAGAACAATTTGTTTCTCTGCATCACATTTATTGCCAATGACAATTTTAGGAACATCTAAGTTGACACCATTTGCAAGACACTCATCCATCCAAACAGTCAAGTTTTCAAATGTGCTCATACGAGTTACGTCGTAAACGAACACGACTGCATGTGCATTTCTGTAATAGTGCTGAACCATGCTTCGTCTAAATCTTTCCTGTCCTGCTGTATCCCATATTTGAAGCTGTCAATAAAATAAAATCAATAACAATTTATATTTTACTTTTCTAAATAAATTAATATTAAATAAAAAGATTTATATGATCATGATGAAAATAATATTTAAAATATACTTCAAGTAAGTAAGACATAAAACTATCAATTAAATAGAATGACTTGTATACTATAAAAAATAAAATTTAATAATAATTAAGAAACATCAGAGATTCTAAAACAAACTTTCAAAACATCCTGCCCAATGGTGACGGTTTTCTCTCTGAAATCAACACCAATGGTAGCTTCGCTCTTCTCAGGGAATTTTCCCTCACAGAATCGATAGGTTAAACAAGTTTTCCCAACGTTTGAATCACCGATGACAATTATCTTAAAGATCCTAACCTTCGAGAAATCTACTAATTTGTTACTAATTTCGTTTCGCTGTTGGTGTTGTATTTGATGTTGTTGATGATCAGGATGATCAGCTGTTTGTGGAGGCTGAAGTGGATGATTACCGGGTGGGGGTGGTTCTGTGATGCTGCTACTTTTTGCGTTCGAAGGAATTTCATTCTGAACGAACGTCGCGTTTTTAGCTACATCCATACCTGACTGATTAGTGCGATCATTTGTTTACAAAATAAATTTATGTTTATTCACTGAACCTGGATCGATGTTTGAAGATCGCTATTTAACATTGGTTCTTAGTAGAAAAGTTACTTTAAACAAAAGCCAACGATGGCATTTTAGCGGAGTCCTTCCTTTTCTTCCCATTATAATCTATTCTTAGAATCAAGATCAAGATTGGCATTGAAGTAAGCTGTACATTCATTATTTATATTCTTTAAAAAAAAATCAGCATATATAACATTTTAGGTTATATTTTAAACCAAGACACTCGTTCTTTCCAACAAAGTCTGAACTCAGAAGTTACCAAATAAGATTAGAAAATGTAAAAATCCAAACCACCACACCTTGTTTTTATATTGATTGCCCTTTCTTGTTATTCCTGTTATAAACAGGAAGCTAGTAGAGCAATGACGTCATACATTCACCATTAGATTTAGGTGATTTGCGAGAGCCATATATGTAGAATAAAGAGAGCAAATGAAATACAATGAAGCGAACGCTTTCAGATTACTATTCAGGTCAAATGTTTTATTTTAATTCAATTTTTATGAAGATTTCATTTGGATGATTACATATAATCAGACGCGAATGCCACCTTTGCCAATTCATCATACACAAATATTTTGTGTATCAAACAAATTAAAACTATTTGTCTTGAACCAAACTGTTTGTCTATTCAGTTCATGATCTCCACACAGAGATTTAACAAATCTACTTGAAAAATATATCGTATTTAAAAATCACATTGACTGACTTTATCTGCTTTGATAACTTCATAACAAGTACCTATTGATAGGGGCCATCGCAAGAATAAAGTTAAGTAGTTTGTCGCTTTAATTGTGTAGGTTTTTTATATTTTAAGCCAAAAAGGCGTTTAATTACGTCACAGTACTAGTTGCTGTAATTTTTATCACTGCAATCCAAATTATAAAACACCATCCCACAGCACCATATTATTCTGATATTCTAATTAGACTTTTGTATATTATTGGGCCCAGGCCTATTTCACTTGTCAATTTAGATTTGGTTTGAACCATGATTTTCAATTTTGAAACGCAGGTTTTTTTTAAACATATGTAATTTTTTATAAAAATTTAGAAATTCTAATCACTTATGTTCTTCCATTATATTATCATTTTGAGCAGTTTATAGCACTATGTTTTTGGTCGTCACCTTTCAGCAAAAGCAAAACATTTTGCATATAAAAATATATTTTAATCGAAACGAGAACCATAATAATAAAATAATAGTTTTTATTAAATGCAGATCTTCAGTGATGTTCTGAAAAAGAATTTAATTTATCTTCATTTATCAATAAAATCGATCAAGTTAAAAAGCTATGTTGAAAAAATTATTAAATTCTTATCAACTAATGTGCTTGCTATTACATAAATAATGTTTGCAAAAACGGATTTTCACCTTTAAGCAAGAGAAAGTCTCAAATATTTGACGAAGTTAACGTTTGCAGGTCTGACATCTATCGGATGAATCTTGAAGTCACTTCCTTAGTGACGGACATGGCTCTGGTGCGACCCAAACCTGGCATCCCCAATGGAGGCGCACCCCCGATGATGGTGGTGTGGTGGCGGACTGTGGCGGCGTTTTGGGCTTCTGCGCGATCTGCTCTGTGTTGGGCATCTTCCAATTCGGCTTGCACTTTACGATATTTGTTCAGTGTAATAGTCAGGACTTCTTCCTAAATTTTGGTTTATAGAAATTGATTTTTAACATTTCGATCAAAACATTTCAGATAAACTAAATTTAATGAGGTGCGAATGATTATTAACATGAAATAACTAGAACATTTGAACTAGCTAATTTTAAAACAAACATTCTGCTCAAGTTGACTTTTCAGAGCGTTGAATTTGGCTTGCCAGTTGTTGATGTTGTCAGCATATTCAATAACTAAGAGGTGGTCTCTTTCTGCTTGAACCCTGGTGTCTTGCAGTTGGCGTTTCAATTTTTGCACTTCATTCATAGCCTCCTTTCCTCTTCTTTGTTCAGCATCCAAATCTCTTTCCAAGTCAGCAATCTTTAAAATAAATTTCAAAAAAAATAATTTTTAGACGATAGAGTTTGTCTGTCACTATTTTTGGTTACTAAAAAATTATTTATAACAAACTTTGGATTTGTATTGCGAGAGAGCCTTTCTTCCATCTCTTGAAGCTTCCAGGTCTTCCAGATGAATTGAGAGCTCTCTGACTTGAACTTCCAGCTGCTTGTTGACAGCCTGCAAAGAGGTGGCAGCACTCTGTTCACTTTTCAGCTGCTCACTAATGCGAGCCAATTCAGCCGACAACTTGTCAGCTCTATCTTCAGCTGCACGACGGGAGCTATCAGCATCAGCAAATCTACAATTAAAGTTTTTCATGATTTAATTCTTGTTAAAATATCTTTTTTTGTAGATTTGATTTTTTTATTGATTAATAATTAAAAATATTTTTACGTTCAAAGTTGCCATTTCTATGGGCAATGTGTTGGTAAAACTATTTCAAAGTACTACCTGTGTTCATATCCGGCCAGATCAGCTTCAAGTCTCTTCCTATCATTCTGCAAGTTGCTGATGGTGACGTTGATTTCAGTCATATGCTGGGAAGACTCTGAGTTATCGGCCTCCAACTTTCTGCGTGCCTTTTCTGACTGGAACCAATAATGCATCATCTACGTAACTTAACAAAAATATTTTTATTCAAACTGAAAAACTAACGGCGTCATATAAGCTTCTGAGGTCATCAAGTTCAGCAAGGAGAGTGGCCACTTTACGTTCTAAATTGGCAGCAGCATCTTTCGCATCACGAGCTCCTTTTCTTTCAATTTCTAAGGCAGATTCGAGTTCCTTCAAACCGAAAAAAATATCACATTGATATGAAATACACAAAACCAAGAACATGTTGAAAATTTTTATCTAGGAAAGAAACGCACTCTGATTTTGTTGTATGCTCCTTTCTTTGCCTTTTCAAATTCAATGTTGGCTCTCTGCAAAGCGTCCAACTGGATTTGGTACTCCTGTATTTCTTGAGCATGCTTCTTCTTCAAGCGACTTCCTTCGTTCTTCAACTTGTTTTCTAAATCAACCAAAGTTGTTTGCAGCTCCGTGATTGTTGTTTGGCTTCTGTGCCTATGTTTTTTAAATGTATACTTTTAGTAAACATGTTTAAGAAAAAAAATGTTGACCGTTTATGTAAATTACTTGATAGCTTCAAGTTCCGCGTCTCTGTCTTTCAACTTATTCTCCAGATCAATACGGATTTGGTTTGCAGCTCCTCCAGCTGAATCCAGTTTACCCAAAACCAACTTTAAAACAGTTTCAAAACAAAAGTAAATTTTACAATATGGTTGGACCAATTTTGACTGTTTTTTTTTAATCATGAAGATAAACTGCAGAAAAATGAAAAAAGCAAAAATTGAAAATGAAATGAACTGACTTGGTACTCGTCTTTGAGATCTTGCAGTTGACTGAGCAGATTGTCTCTCTCTCCTGTCAACTCGCTGCGAATGATAGTCAGTTCCTGCACGTTACGATTCAATTCCTTGATGCTGCTATCATGTTCGCGGTTTGCATCTTGTAATGTAAATGAATTTTTGCCCATACATCAGAATTTATTAAATTTGTTAAATCAAATGTTGAATTGCTTCAAAACATTTAATTTAACTTTTGGCGTACCTGTTAATTTAGCGTTTTCTCTAGTCAAAGCATCAATCTTGTCCTGCAAATCACCGGCTAGAGCCTTCAAACGAGCAACTTCCGCATTAGCATTTGATAAATCAAGGTTGGCTCTCTGCAGCTCACTGCTCAGTTCATCACTCCTCTTCTGGAGGTCGGTTGCCAAATGTTCCAACTGTTTCGCTCTTTTCATGTGATCTTGGATGACATTGTTCGCCTGGTTGTGGAAGCGGAAACATGTTTTATAATGCATTTGCATTCAATTCACTCTCACAATATAATTTGGTATTGTAAAATGGTTGAAATGTACTGACATCTTCCAACTGCAAACTGTAATCTTTTATCTCCAATCCCAATTTGCTTTTATCTTTTTCCAATTTTGAGTTGCGAGATCGGAAGTTTTCAAGTTCACTTTCTAATTCGGCAACTCTGGCGTTGAGCTTGCGCCTTTTAACAAGTACATATACACAAGTAGATAAATGTACACAAAATTATTTGTTGTAATTAATCTGGTTAATGTATTACTCAACATATTTTGAACAGCTTATCATCAGGAAATCAGCAAAGTTTTGGACACATACGACGACAATTATTTGTTACTAGCTTAACAATTTACTAGAATTGCTTTTAAAAAAAACCTCAATTCTTCTACTTCGTCGCCACGAGCAGCCATATCTTTGTCATATTTTGATTTTAGGGTGAGGTACTCGGCCTGCAGTCTTGCCACTTGTCCTCTCAAGCCATCAGCGGCCTCCAGCTCCTCTTCATACAAAGCAACTACACGATCCAGTTCACTTTGAGCTTGGTTCAATTGATCACCAGTCAAACCTTTGCTCTATATTGTTTGTTTGTTTATCGAAATGAACTTTAGCAAATAAATTTTATTTTTTGAAGTGGATTAATGAAAAAAAACAAAACAAAAACCACGAAACAGCAGAAATCAGTATAAAAATGAACTTACTCTCAACTCGTCATCGTATTTTGATTTGAGCTCTTCCAAATGAGTCTGAATTTGAGTCTTGCTGCTTGACAAGATGCCAAACTTAGTTTCATAATCATGGACTGTCTTGAGCAAGTCGCCATTTTCTTGGCTCAGTTTGTTCTTGAAAGCCAAAAGTTCAGCGTTTTGTTTGGTCAGGTCTCCAACTTTTGCGTTCAATTTCTTCATTTGTTCCTCTAAGTCACGAAGTTTTTGATCGGCATAAACCTGTTATAAATGTTAAGTTAAACATTATGTTAATAGCAATAGGTGGTTTTGAATTATTAATCAATCCAACCAATGAATTATTGCTTAAAGTCCAATCAAATTACTTAACATCGTCTTTAATATTGTTCATTGTCTGTGTTAATTATTATTATTATTCCTGCACCATGAAGCATGCATCGTGCACCATGCATCATGCACCATGCATCATGCACCATGCGTCATGCAATGCTCACGTTATTTTTTCCAGCCTGGTCGAGGGTGGTGTTCAAGTTTTCAATTTCGATGACAAACGACTGCTTCTCTTTGTCCAGTCTTGAATTTTAATTTATTTTTATGAAGCGTTTATCGATTTAAAATTTTTAAAGTTATTAAATTTTTAAACATAACAGTCTTATTACAAATATGTATGTTTTCTATAAATACAGTCTGCGTATACTCCAGAAATAGTTATTAATTTTTTATTCTACTGTTTATTCTTCTGTAATAAAGCAATTTTTTCTAATTAAATGTAATATTTCGTTCAAAATCTGACTTTGATTTTTGTTGCCTCAATCTGTCGAGCTGATCTTCCAGATCTTTGATGATTTCAGAAAATTTCTTCTTCAAGTTAGCTTCAGAGGCGTCGTGGTTGGCCAGCAGAGTATCGTAATCCTTCTTCAACTTCAAGTAATCTGCCTCTCCTCTGCGGTTCGCGTCCATCTGATTGATTGCATTGCGTGAAACATTTACTTCAACGTGTATCGCATCAATGAAACTGACAATTGATGAATTTTACTAATAAAATAAATTGAAAAATATGTGCAACTAATTTTTTTAGGGTAATTACTTTACATGGGGTAAAATTAATATCTCAAGTGGATAAACCTGAGCTTGAATTTCATTATCTGCTTCGTCAACTTTTTCTTGCGCGGCAACAAGTTGGAGGTTTAGATCGGCGATTTGTCTGTCATACTTCATACGTCATGGAACGAAAAATAATTTTTTGTTGAAGTAATCATTCAATGAGTGACGTCTGATTTAACTTTCAAGTGAACTCTCTCGGTTTTAATTTAAGTTAGAAAAAACAAAATTTATCGTCATTGGTTCAAGAAAATTACAAGATTTTCAAATATGAATTTCTAAGATAATTAGGTGAAATCAATTTGTGTGAGATTGATTTTTTAATTGTAATTAAATTTTTAAAAAACATACTCTAAGACTCGTTGCTCTCTCCGCTTCAAGAGCTTCTTCCAATTCCAAGACACGATTCTATGATTGTCATTTAATACGTACATTATTTTTTTTAAACTATAAAAAAAATAATTTTGCAGTTTTCAGTTTCAAGTGTTCAACTGGTGTTTGATTAATAATAAAAAATACGTTTTTAGAAATGTTCTGTTGAGATTACTGTTGAAAAGTTAAATAAAATAGAGACTTGAATCCTGTTGGCAGTGGTAGGCGAGAGACCACGGTGGACGGTGTAGTTGCTGCCGCCAACGAGAGTAGCCGATGCAGCTGATGGTGCGCTGATAGTTGCAAGACTTCCGAGTGGGAGTGTCCTCAGAATGGAGGAGCCGCCGTAATCGTCGTCGTCGTCGATCGTTGATCTGCAAGGGAAGAACGTTTCAATGACACTCACCTCAGACATTTGAATGTCAATCAATGCTCTTAAAATCTGGCACTTTTAACATTTTCACAACAAACTGATGTATAATTATTGACTAGATGTAAACTGTAACAAATAAATTAAACGTCACATAAATCAACCACACGAACGCATCCTACCGTTTGACGATTCTTCTTGAAATGCGAGACATCTTGAATTGTTACGAATCCGCAAGAACTTCAAAAATTTATAAGAATTGAAATATTATTTTCAAACGAATTAACAAACTCAACAATCGCAAAGTTTCGAAGCAGACGCTAAAAACCCTCAGCGCGAAACCCAAGTGCCGCCGATCGAAAAATGTAACAAATGTAAATTCAAGATAGATAACGAAATGGCTTCGTTATATTTGCTATAAGCTGGTTGATGCCTGCGGTGCACATGAAATTTTTCTTCTTATTTTTTTCTTCTTAACAGTATTTTATTCTTTTTATTATTATTTTATTATTCTTCACATTATTGTTAATTCCTATTGCTTAATATATTTAACACGTATGTATAACCCTATGTTACGTGTGTGTGTTGTGTATGTAAGTGCAAAAGTATGTACGTTATTATATGCAGAAAATATTCACTATCTCATTAGCTCCAAGTGTAGAAAACTAATATGAAGTAATTGTATTAGGCAATGAAGGGAATGGCGATGATCCGATGATAAGACATCAAGCGGAATGATACTGGTGATCTTGGGGTATTTTTAGCTGTTGATAAGGTTTTTGATGTCTCTAAAAAAAGTATTAATTTGGTTATTCAGCCAAAATAAATTAGAATGTGTTAGGTGTAGATATTAATTGCGTTATTTGGTATTAATTTTAATTAGCTGAAAACATGTCAATTAAACCAATGTTTTAAATGCTCAATAACTTAAGTGAATGATTGCTACATGTTTATCAGTAAATGCAAATTTTACTAGAAGTTTGTGTGTAGGTGTTTTAATTGATGCAAATAAACGTAAAATGAATCTCCAGTAAAAAACCAAAATAACCAAATTTAGAAATAAAAATGCCAGGTGGGTATTTCAATAAACTGCAAGCCTGTACTACTGCGTGTGTTTACGTCTTTAATTGAATTAAACTCAAACTTTTTTATCAAATTTTTCTACAAAACATAAACAAATAAGGAAAAGTGAGATAAGGAGAAAGAGAAAGAAAAGAGAGTGCAGAGAAGTTTGCGAGATGTTGAAGGAAATGATGGGGATGAAGATGATGGAGAACAGCTACTGAGCTAAGCAATATTGCAAAAATTATATAGAGGAATTTGTTTTGTGGGTAAAAGATGATGAAAAAAAAACAAACAGTTGAACATCCGACCATCTAGAACACTAAATACATACTTTACACTTACATACACATACATACACATGCAAACAAATACATACATACACAAGCAATTGCTAGAAAACAACAACCCGTTTTGAAGCTAAGCAATTGAGCATTGATGCAAGATATTGTTATTTATCTCTCTGTATGTAGAGGTTTGTACGTATACCAACTTCTAGATCTATAATATATATATATATAGTATGGGTATATGTTTGCAAATAAAAAAAACTGGTGACCCGAAAAAGAGCTTATTGGGCTGCCATAACAGAAAATACAAAAAAAAGATAATCAAACATATACTGTTCACATAATCAAATATAACTAAGAAACCTTTAAAATAACTTCAACTAATTAGTTGTAACAGACCGGACCAAAACTATAAAACGAACAATTACAAAAGATATAAAAATAATCGTTAACTATTAATGGAGCAATAAGTTTTATAAATTAGTTAAAGTCGATCGATGATAATTTAAAACCGGCATTTAACAATGTCCATAGCTTAACACCATGAACGAAAATAGATCGTGAAAATAAGACGGTACAAAATGGTCGACTATAAAGTTCTGATGTATGTCTTGTTTTTCTTATAACAACTAACGATGATTTTAAAAGATACTTATGAAGATATAATACATGAACATATTTAAATTGATCATTTGGTAAAAACAATTATATTATGTTAATATATAAATAAATGATATATAACTATAATATATATATATATATATATAATTTTTCTACTATATATATTATATACAATATACATATATGAGTGTGTGTTTGAGTGAACATGTATGTATATATATATTTGTACATTTTTACACATTTTGTACATTTGTACATTTTTGTACAACATAAACAAAAATGTAAACTTCCGTTTTTTACGTAAAAAATTTTACGCATAAAAACAGTTATATACAGTAGAGCTTATTTGTCATGCATCAGTTTGTTATTACTATAAACATGCATAAACATACAAACGTGTACCCGCGCGCGCCCATACGCACACACATATATATGTATATATGTATATATGTATATATATATATATATATGTATATACATATATATATATATATATATAATATCACACAATCAATTTGTATACACAAATGTATACATAACACACAAGTAGTAGTATACGCATATCCTCATAGGTTTCTGTTCTTATTAGACTCCAATCAATTTGGACACGCACACACGCACGCACACACGCACCGGCACTGATGACGCAAGGAAAAACAACAGGATGTGACCTACAAAGGAATATGAAATTTAATACTAGCGAAAATAAAATTAAGTAGAGTAATACAAAAAGAGTGATTGTCAGGGCATGAACGTTGTAAAGATTGTTGTTGTCGTTATGATACAATACAATGAAATACAGTATAAATAGCAATCGTTAATTGCATCACTCATGTATATATATAAAAGATATATTTCTAAAAAGAATTATGGTAGATGCAAAAAATGATTCACTCTCATAAGATCAATAGCATAGCAGACATTCAAATATCTTGTTACTTGAAATTCCATGCTTATTTATAAACCTATAAATATTATTTTTGCCATTTCTTCAGAAATTAGTTGACTTGTGTAAGAAATTTTTATTTTGTAAACGAAACAAACATAAAAAAAAACACGAACATTGTTTCACTAATAACATAAACTACAATAAAACAACAACAATAGTAGTAACCAATTAAAAATATATGTGTGATTTTGCGTGAGCATTTGTGTGAGTGTGAGTGTGTGTGTTTGTGTAAGTGTGTGTGTTTGTTTATCTGTTATGAAATATCAATAAATCCTTTTTGTTATGAGCTGTAGTGGAAGACTTCTGCCTCCGAAGTCAGTTCTCCGTGTGATACGGCGAAACGTGCGTTTTAGGCAATGCGCAATTTGTTCTCTGTATCTATTTATAAATAATTTATAGTTAGCATATTTTGAAATGTTAATATAATTAATAATAATTTAATAATAAATGTGTAAAATGATTGTAGGAACATAATTAAATTAAATTATTTCGTTCATATACACCGTAGCCATTAATCTATAACGGTGTATTGGATTGATATGTGGTATTGCTGTATTTTTGTTTTGAAATGAAAGGCAGGCGAGATCTTCTAAAAAATTCTTGGGATGGTGATTTATAATATTGAGATGCGTTTGTTTGTGTGCGTGTGCGTGCGTATGTGTGTGTGTGTGTGTGGTGTGCGTGTGTGTGTGTGGTGTGTGTGTGGAGAAATAGTTCATCCTTTCCTTACTAGCTCAACATCTTTTTCAATAATTTTAATTTAATATATTTTTTATCATAATAATAATAATAATAATAATATTTCCTCTTCGAAAAGTACTTTTTCTTAGTACACGTGTTTGTTTTAATGGTTTGCTTGTTCGTTTGTAAAAAGAAACAGTCAACACCTTAAAAAGACACTTTATTTTTTCTCTTGATATTTTCGGAATGTTTCACTCAATAAAACTAATTTCAGTGTGATCAAGCGAACAATATTCGTTCTATATTTGACTTAACGTCAGTTTGAAACGGGAAATATTTTAGTTTGTAAAGTTTCATAGTTGTGTTTTCAAAGATCCTTCAGCGTTGTTTGCAGATAGTATTTAAATTTTCGTCAAAATCATGTATTTAAATTTTCGTCAAAATCATGTATTTAAATTAAGGTCCTTAATTTATTTTGTCATTTTAACAAATTTAAGAAAAGATAATTTATTTTTTTAGCAACATAATAGGATAAAATGAGCTACATACAAACAAATATGTTTTCTTGCCGACTGAGATTTCCAAGAGATCGCTGGAAGTTTGTTTACACGTACAACAGACTGACTGACTTGAATGTTTTGATAATTTGAGACTTGCTGTTGCTACATTCGCTAACCCATAAATTATTTTTATAAACTTTCATTATCGCTAAAATCATTTCGTTTACAATTATAAGATGAACGTTTCAATGTGAAATAAACATTGCTTTAAAAACCTGGACCTTTGCAACACGAGTCTAAACTGTGAAAAATGAAGTGTTTTATGGCATGATACAATTGTGATATACGCTAAAATGCACTCTGCTTTTTTTGTTACTATCGCCCATTACTTATTTTCACTTTATTTAAATTCACTGAATTTTTTAGAAGTTGGCGTTTTTGCTGATGTGAAAAATGGCTAAACTGTTCATATTGATATACGTGTACCTGAATCATTTTTTTTCTATTATGATGACACCTACATCAGTCAACAAAAAAATAGTTTAGTTATGAAAATATTGAAACTCAACAAATCTTCATTCGCTGAAAACAAATAGGAAGCTTACGTTTCAAACATGTCTATAGTTCTTTTTTTGTGAGTGATGAGTGCATCAGTAAGTATTTATCGCAAGCAGCTCGTTGGTAGTAATAAATATTTTATCAGCCTTGCGTCACCACTTTTGAACCATCTCCAACAGACAAAGCCTCTTTTCACAAATATTTGCATAATTAACTCAATATTTCATAACATCTAAATGGCCAAAAGTAGGTACTAGAAAGATAATGCTACTCGGCGAGTTTTTCGCTAAAGTTATTTGTTTTTGTTTGTTTACTCAATGTAAACAAATTTTGTGTTTTGTATTATCGCTACGTTTTAATTGCAAAGACTACTATATAAAACTCTTAATAAACTAAATTACTATTTTGTTACCATGAACAAAGGGAGAAAAATAACAAAAGAATGTTCACAATGTCTCAAGCATGTAAGTCGAGTGTTAGGCGAAACTGACGACTAATGATCTCATTTTATTTTTTTAAATTTAAAAATTTCAATTAATTTATTAATTAATAAATAAATTGCAAACAAAGGTTCCGTCAGCCCGTAAATCCTGCTCAGAATGTGGTTTCAAATTTGTCAGAGAAGTAGAAAACCTAACTGCAAGTACAACTACCACACCAAGTAAAAACGTTTTTTAAACCTAACTAAATTAATTAAATTTTCTATGGAAAAAAATTGTAAATCATCTGATTTTTTACAAAATGATAAGCAAACACTATATATAAATACTGCATGAAAAACGTAAATTTATCCTACAATGGACAAGTTGGACATAAGTTACCAGCAATCAATTTTTGACAGATGCTCCCATCGGATGTAAGTGACAATAAGATATGACATACACTTGCCTGTAGTATATTATTTATGATGTTTGGGGAAATTAAAATGTTTATGGTACAAGCTTCCAGAATAACAACTATGTTCAATTTATATTTTATTAAATATTGGCAGGCACTTCTAATGAATCAACATCACCAAACAAGTCGGCCATTGAAAATAGAACTAGGAGAAGATGTCGAGAGAAACCTCACTTCTTTGATTCAACTGAATACAACACAACTATCAAAAAGGTTGGTCTAACTTTAACTTTATGGCAAGAGGTGATAAATGATAAATATCAATCATTTGATGTTGAAAATACAAAGGAATTTATTTTAAACGGTTGATATATTGATAAAAAAATGTTTAATATTATTTATTGTTTTTTAGATTAAAATCAGAATTGTGTGTTAATATTATATATTAATCTTTTCCAATGCTGATTTTATTTCTTAGAAAATATTGTTTTATTTTTTACATTTATTATTAACAATTTATAATAATAATATTTTATATAGTGAAGCATTTTTTTCACAACAGAGAAAAAAGACTTTAGTGAGAAAATTTCCTGATGAACCTGAATCAAAAGAGTTTGAAAAGTCTAGAGACCAAGGTTTATACAGTTCATTATTTTTTTGAATGTGATCCTACAAGTTAAAAAAATTGAATTCAGTCAGTTCAAATGACATTTAAAAATTGTTTAATTGTGTTGCTTAAATTATGGTAAAATAAACAAAGATATGAATACAATAATTTTCCTGTGTTAATTAACACTATACAAAACATAGGTAACTCCCCTAAGGCATACGATGAAAAGCCAAACTCAACATCACCGACAGGAGCAAGCTCAGTAAAAGATGAAAAATCTAAACCTAACTTGAATCTAACAAACATAAAAGAGGAGTCATCCACAACAACTACAGCAACGACAACGACATCAAACTCAAGCCAGTCCACCAGTGACACCAGAGTTTCAGTGAATGGAGGCAAGAATTGTAAGGATAAAGATATCCACAACAGCAATATCCTTTCTGAAATCAATAGAAGGATTCTTTCCATATCCTGTCAGCCATGCATATAAATCTAACCTACTGATGAAAAACTAATCATTTTTAAATGTTTTTTTAATAAGGCCTAGATTGTTTTGTTTATGCATGCATTATTCATTATATTTACTTGTAAATTTTATATTTGTGTACCTTTTTAGATGAATTTTAGATGAATTGTAACATTTTTATATTTGTGGCTACAGTGGATAATTTGCTTATACGAATTGATTACAAGTTTCAAAATATCTTCATTCAAACTTATTCAATGATAAATTTATTTTAATAATGCATCTTTGTTTTACAAACACTAGTTATGTCCTAGATCAATTTGTTTAATTTTTTTTAATTTTAAAATATGAAACAATACAATGAAGACAAATAAATGTATAAAATATTTATAATCGTTTTTCTCTCGACTATCCAACATCGAATTCATCTTCGTCAACCAATCCTGGAAATAAGTTATCACTGAACTCTGAACTTTCACCTAAGCAACTTACATACAACTATCTCAATGCTAATTCAAGTTGACTAATAAAACCTTATTGCGCGGTTGAGTTTACTTACATTGTCGTTTTAATTCAAAGAAATCACAGGAAAAAGAAACTAAAAAGTTGAATGTTAGCCATGAAATAAAAGTTATTCGGTCACATGTTTTTAAATTTATGGAACGGATTTTACATGTTTGTCTATGAAATTGCAGTCTAATCATTGACAGTCACAATTCGATGGCGCAACTGTTCATTTCTTCACAGATTTGTATAATAAATCGATCAGTAGTGATAAGGTCTTAGCGAACATGTATTAGTTACATGATCAGATCGGTAATTATTTGATTGTCAATCGATTTTTAAGATTAAATATTTATTTAATTAATCAATTAATGTAGTAAGGTAGGTGTTGAGTCTTCATTGAAAGTTTTGACGAGGAACTGCTGGCAGAGGATGCGCATGAACTGAGCCTTCTTCATTTTCGACAGTTCGTACTGCACATCGGCTCTGTTGTTGCTGTTCATTTCCAGCTTTCCAACCAGGTGGACCTGAACATTTCAGATAACACTTGCATTCTCAATAAAACAGATTAATTGATGTAAACGAAGTTTTAACATTTTATAAATATTTTTATTAAAATAAATTGAAAATGATTTAAATAAAACTTACTGCGAAATTTCTCTTTTCAATTTCTCCCTTCCTGTGATGCATATCTAAACAGAATGAGGAAAAAAATAAACAATCTTGGCTATGAAAAAATAAATTTTATTATCTCTTAACATTTAAGAGCTACGTCGTGAAAGAATGTTAGCATGTATGCAACAGTGGCAAAATATAACGACGGAACTACTGACTGATGATGTATTCGAGCATGGTGACATCCCAGATGCATCTGTAGTAAGCGTCCATAGCGTCGAAGCACGTTCCTCGCTCTTGCAAACATTTGAAGGCAGTTGGATAATCCACGTCCTCCAAGAATTGACACAAGACAGCTGCCTGCATCAGATGTTTATAAATTTTCAATTTTTTTTTTAGTCTTTATCATTGCAGCTCTGACATACGCAGAACTACTTACAATGTTACAGATATATTATCTATATATCTTTATTATGTTCTTCATATCTTCAACCATTGATATGAAGCAGCCATCTTCGCCACAAAGGCTGTTTATCCTTTTCATACGACATACACATGTATTTATGTGCACGCGCAAGCACTGCATCATATATGCTGAGTATATGATAGCCAGTGAGATGTTTGACTCAGCCTGCATTCGAACCACTGAGCCATCTCGCCGGCCAACATGCGACAACTTACGTCGTCAACCCATTTACCAACCTCGAAAGGATGGACGGCTGGGTTGACCGGGAATCGGCTACCCGGATGAACCTGTAGAAACTGCATAATTCGAACCCAGGTCGTGGGAGTGGTAGACAGACACGCTAACCACTCAGCCACGAGACCCCAAATGTTGTTATCACGTAAGCAAAATGCACAAACATTATGATTATAATGATTATGACATGAATATGTACGAATACGAAAAGATACATGGCTCACTAAGTAACAACAACTATAAAAACCACATGGCGCATGTAAATAATAAGCCAGTGTAGAGGTAAACAGTTTAAATTTTAGTGTTCTACAATGAAAAAATTGACGACACCAATCCTCAACATTATTCGCTTAAGCCATAGTGCAATTGAAAAAAGAATTAATTTTAAAAAATGGAGCCAAACTTGAGTGTGTAGATTCAGTTGAATGCACGAATGGATCATTTTCTTGTAGACCTGCAACGTTTTAAAATGTGACACTTGTCAGTATATTGATGAATCATTATCCCAAAGTCATGTTTTCATTGATTTATAAACTCTAAAACATCTTTAGCTGCTAGCTTTAATACAGTAGTAGCAATAAAATATGGACGCATATATTTATAATAAACAGTAAGAAGTGGCAAAAAATGTTTATGGAGATATGTAGCACAGCCAGACTTGGTGTGTGTATACTTTACGTAAGAAAGAAACCTGATCGTCATAGACATTCTTCGTGAGAGGTTCCGAGAAGTAATCAGTGGCGACGACACCGAGATGCATGAAGAACTTCATACAGGACCAGTAATGCTTCAAGGCTGTTCGGTTGGCACGTGCAAAATGTTGAATTCAAAATTTTTTAATTGATAATTTATAAATGAAAAAATTATGATAAATTATAGGCTATTGACGTGTTTAGAATGCGTAAAAAACCGCGTTTCAAAAATTTATCAAGTTCGTCTCGTGACAATAATGACAAAGTTACCAAATCACAAAATGCTGATGATGCCAAAAACCGGGTTAAAACTAAATAAGCAGTTTAATAAAGTGTCAAATAATAAAGACCAAAATTCAGTAGAATTGACTAAACATAAATAAATATTTATACAACGAAAATTTTTTTAATTACTCCATACACATTATCAATTGAAAAGACAAATAAACGAAGAACTGGCCATTAACCAAATGATAAGTCGGCTTGTGTTCTAAGCCAGGATGTCTGCTGGTTGTTTATTGCCAATGAGTGATCCAAGATGCAAAAGACAGAATCAAGCAACTGCTCCTTGTCCATCAAACACCTCGAGATGAATGGTCAGGCAAATGGAAATTATGAATATTTAGATTTTTTTAAATTGGTTTAATTTATCTTTCCCCCCTGCAAAATTACTGTTAGGCAAAAAATGTGTAATTCCATCCTAAAAGTTGATTTTTATTTCAATCAGTAAGCGACATCAGTTTGCTACCGAGAAGAATGAATTTGCGTAAATTTGTAACACATTCATTACATAATAAAGGAACACACAATTTAAAAAAATATTAAATGAATTGTGATGCTTTCTATATTCATCTGCAAAGAAACTTTTTCAAAAAATTGTAAAAGACGTTAACTTGAAAACCCCAAAACAAAACTTTTATATAAAAAAATCCAGAACTGACTTATTGATAGCAGTGGGCCAGAAGACGAGATGGCTGCTGAATATTTCATCAGCTACGTCATCATCAGACAACTTGTAGAGTTTCGTCAGGCAGGATATCAACAGTGATAGCACTGTATCATTCTGGCGGTGGTGATGTAGATGATGACGATGACAGAGATGGCGATGATGATGTAGTTGATGATGATGGCAATGATGATGTGAATGATAATAATAATGACAAAAAATGATGATCGCAAATGATGAAAAGAATAATGACGGATGCATGATAAAAACAAATTTTTTGAAAGCAAACAGACATATATCTGTGAGATGAAAGTCATTAGCCAGTCATAAGAGATGGCGTTACTCAGTCGTGACTTGCTGGCAGATGTTGTTGAAAAGATTGGGGCAACTGTGTTGTGTTTGTGTTTATGTTAGTGATCAGTTATTTGTTGACAATAATTATTTGGAATTAGTAGTTAAGTAAGATTTGGCGCGTTGGCCATGAACTAGGGATAAAAATAATTAAAATTTATATTTGATTGTTAATCTGGTTTAATATTGAGATGAATAAATTTAATTTAATTGAAAAGGATCCACAATTTCGTCATTATTATTTCACTTACAATTCTTAAAACAAATATAAACGAAAGATTTCTTGAAAAAGTTCAAAACATCGGCAAAAAAAATTACATAAACACATTCACACAATCTCTCACTCAGTCATGTGAACTGTTATGTCTACAAATGAAAAAAAAAACAAGTAGAAACCAGTATCAAGAAAATTTTTAGCAAGAACTCGAGCAGATTTGATGTATGGCAGTTCCTTGCACAACCTAGCCACCATTTGTCCGAACTACAAATATAACATAATGTTTCCATGTTATTTATAAATTGTACATCCGTGTATAACTGTTATAATCAGAAGTATGAGACAGGAATACGGGAAGATAATGATAGAGTAACCTGTACGATGGCGTTGCTGATGTCCACACTGACAAGCTGGTCCCATTGTTCACCGTTCAGCAGATGAGTTACTGACATACACACTAGATCAGCACTTGCTTGTAAATTTTCTGCTCATTCATTCATTCATTTATTTATAGATCATTCGTTTGTTCATCCATTCATTCATTCATTTATTTGCTCGTTCATCCATTTATTCATTCATTTATATAGCTGATATACAAACAGGCAAAAATTTGTAAACAATTCACCGGCCAATCAATAAGCCAACCAATCAATAAGCCAACAAATCAGCCAACCAAACCAATAAGCCAGCCAACCAACCAACCAACAAGCCAACCGACAAGCCAATTAACCAACCAACCAGGTTCAATATGAAGAGACATAATACAGCTATGACATCTTTTGAAGAGTTCAGTTGAATCTGCATCACATTGATCGCCTGTTGATGTCGTTGTTGATTGCTTCGTATTCTGCATTCAATTAAAAAGCACTAATTAACAAATTTAATTATACAACTTTTACTTTAATTAATTTTAAAATTAACACTATAATGAAAAATTTTAATGTAGAAAATGTTTGACCTTTGACCTATCAATGACCCTCGTGAGGTCAGCCCTGAGAACCTCCCACTTCAACAACTTGACAACTTTGAACATGGTTGTATATTTCAATTTGTTGCTGGCATACGCTAGAAGTTCGTCAGCTTTGTTGTACATCTGCACGGCATCAATGAATGAATGAATGAATGAATGAATAAATAAATGAATGAATGGATGAATGAATGAATGAATAAATAAATGAATGAATGGATGGATGAATGAATGGATAGATGAATGAATGAATGGATAAATGGATGGATGAATGAATGAATGAATGAATGAATGAATGAATGAATGAATGAATGAATGAATGAATGAATGAATGAATGAATGAATGAATGAATGAATGGAATGAGAAAGTAAAAAATGAATGATGAATATATGAATGAAAAAATGAATAGACGAACGAAGATAAAAAAGAATTAATGAACACTGAACGAACAAAAAAAATTAATGAATGGCGTTTTCACCATCGGACAAACATCCATCTCACTAACAAAACCAACTTTAGACTCTAGACATGATCTGGCCTTAGCGATGAGGATGTGAACGAGTGTGATAGTGAATGTTGATTGATTCATTGTTGTCCTCGAAGACATAAGGACAAGTTGTATATCATTTGTTAGTCTCCACTGTGTGGTTGTGTATGTTTCGTGTGTGATCGTGTATGTTGTGTGTGATCGTGTATGTTGTACGTGGTAGTGTATGTTTCGTGTGTGATCGTGTATGTTGTACGTGATAGTGTGTGTTGTGCGTGAGCTTATGTTTTGTGTATTTTGTATGCTGTATGTAATTGTGTACGTTGTGTCGTGCTGTTTATTAACATGTCGTTGGCTCACGTTTAACCTTTACAATTCTCATCACCACATTTTCAACTTCCAAAATGACGATGATGATGAAATGATAACAACCTTATCGGTGAGAGTTACGACGTCAAGCCTCTGCAACTTGAGGATGAGGTCATGAATGTGTGTCGGGTCATAGGTCATCAGCAGCTTCTGCTCTAGGTTGCTTGTCCTTAAGCTGTCATCATCTGGGGTTGTTTGTTTGCGTTTTTGTGTTGTTCGTTTGTTTGTTTGTCTGTATGTAAAAATTGTTGTGTTTAGCTTGTTTGTTTGTTTGTTTGTGTGTTTGAGATGGAAGAAATAATAAATAGACAGACAGATGTCAACATCAGCATGATTAAATTAGATCACCAAAAATGATGATTGTCATCAAAATATTTCATAATTTCCAGCAGATGATGATGCCGACAGAAATATGATAATGAATTAATAATAAATGAATAATGATGGACAATGAATGTATAGAAAAAAACTTAAGAACAATTTAAGCAGATGCAACTCACCGGTATCAATGCAAATAAACGATGGTGACGACGACGATGATGATGGTGATGATGACGAAGGATGTGATGACGTCGATGATAATGTTGTTGTTGCTGCTGTTGCTGTTGTTGTAGATGTTGTTGTATTTGTTGCTGATAAAGATGACGGTGAAGATGAAGACGATGATAACAAAACCAGTTCTTCTTTTGTGAACAGTCCAGAAAGGTGAGTCTTCATCAGGCGTTGTATGAAGTTGAGTTGTGGAAAGGTACTGACGCATAGATACCTTCATAGCGTGTAATGTAATGTAATGATACTAATGTAATAGTGATAATCAGGATGGTTATAGCAATGATAAAGATAGCGATAATGATGTGGTAAGCATGATAACAATAGGGAATGGTAGAGATGATACAAGGTTCTGTATCGTAGATGATATAAATGATAATAATTGTATCATAAACGATGATACTAATACAAATGATCCCGTCGATATTGAAACTACAGCAATTAAAAAACAGAAAGATACAAATATAGACTTCAAACAACAACTACTACAACAACCACAACAACTACAAGTGCATCTACATCAACCACAACTACTACAACTGCTACTGCATCTACATTTACGACAGCCACATGAGCTACAACAAAATCCACAACTGTATCAAGGGGCTAGTTTACTTGAGAAAAAGTTTCAAATACTCCTTTTGACGTGGCGCAACTCTAAAAGCCACGCTGCTACAGACCTGTTGAATTTTGTAGAAATCAACATATCATATCATACCGTATCGTATCATATATCATATCGTATCGTATATCATATCACATAACATCATATCATATATCATATATCATATCATATCATATCATATCACATCATATCATTACAATACAATGCAACACAAACACCATCAACACCCTTGAATTTGTGAAACAGAGCCAAAAGTCACCATCATTCCCTACACAACAACATCTTCCATCTGATCATAATTCTTGCAATATCACCAAAAAGAAAAATACAACACCACAACTTATTGCACCATCACTCTCATCATTATCACAATCTATCTAGTCATCATCGCCACAACCACCACAGCCACCAGCGGCAGCAGCAGCAACCTTGAGAAAAAACTCGACAAGGCCATCAGTATAGTTGATAATCCGGATGAACTGAAAGGCAACGACCTTGCCATACATGATCCGCCGAATTGTATTGCAGACCAGGACCTCTTCATACAGACTGTCCGATCTGTTGATGTTAACACGCGCACAATTTTCAACTACACACATAAAATTATTAAATATATTTTAATTATTAATAATATTATATTAATTATAAATTCCATCGAATGGCTTGATTGATCGAGGCATAAAACAGTCAACCAATAGGTAGAATTAAAATTGCCAATCAATCATCCAATTTATCAGCTAGCCCCACGTTTGCATGCCTCATTAATCAACTGGTCACAAATAAATTTTGGCAAAACTAATCGACAAACTCTTCAGACAATTTAACAATCAATCCGCATCGACCAATAATCAGTCATCAAACTAATCAACCAATCAATCACTCACTCAATCAGAAATTAACCAATCAACCGACTGATATCCTCTAACAACCAACCAACCAACCAGCCAACCAACCAACCAACCAACCAACCAGCCAACCAACCAGCAAACCAACCTTTGAGCGGCCAAGGCCCAATCCTCAAGAGACAACCTGAAACTGCTTGTAAGTTGTTGAAGTATGAGGTCTTCTACCAGCAATGCTGTCAATCCCTTTTAACAAATCCAACCGACAATGATGAGAATTTTTTGAATTCGATTTATTCAATCGAATGTTTATTCAAATTATTTCAATTAATTCAAAATATTTCAATTTATTCAAATGTTTGTTCAGTCAGGTGCTCAATTTTTTGATGAATAGCATAACGATTTAACTGAGTAACCAATCAATAGCCTATAGCAACCATTGAATCGACCAACTACGTTGGTTGGTTGGCTTGTCAGTTACACAACCAATCACATAACCAAAATTAATTAATCAATCAATTAATCAAAAAATTAATCAATCAATAAATCAATCAATCACACAATCAATCAATCAATCAATCAATCAACCAACCAACCAACCAATCAAACAATCAACCTGCATATTATTCTTCAAACACTCTTGCACTCCTTCCTGGATTGTTGGTTTCATCAAAGTAAGTGGCGACTTTCCCACGATACCTGTTACGTTATGCCATGTCATGCCATGTTATGTTATACAATTCAACAGCTAACAAAATACAAAATATGTATAAGTGTCTGTATACAAAGTGGATGTATATGGATGCAGTGGATGCAGATGTATAAAATGATGTATATAAATGCGTAATGACGTATGTAAGGGATGAGTATAGTATGAGTGAATGAGAGAGTGTAGGCGGTATGGATGCTGTCAGAATGTACGCAAACATATCTATGCACAAACCTGAGCAAGCTTTCAAATATCCAGAACATTTGGCAGAATTGATGGTCATGAAAATTGGATCACTGATCTATAGTTGTTAAAAATAAATGATATTCTTACATGAGAAATGATCGAAAGAAAAGACCAATACTTAAACCTTAACGAAAGTTGTGCTGAGTGGTGAAATAATGGAAAGCAGCATAAATGAAACGTGATTTTTAAACAATGATATCAAAAAATACATATATAACAGAGCCAAACAAACAAAAACACACGACCACCACAACAAAAAACAACGCAGCAACAACATCAACCACAACAAAACAATGACACACGACAATAAGCTCCAAACAGACAGACAGACCAGTAGTTGAAGCCTGTTGCACTGTTCAAAAGAGGTCAGGGCCTTATCATACCTCCTCTTCATAAAGTACCAGCCACCAAGGGCGTACTGTATCTATTGTTAGCACCCAACCACCAGATAAAATTATTTATTTATTTATTCGTTGATTTATTTAATTATTTAATTTATTAATTATTTATTTATTAATTGCGAGTAATTAAGTTGAAATTAATTAATGGTAAATATGAGATTTTTATTTCTAGTTTCAAGAAATGAACAAATTAATGTGAATCAGTGAGAGTTGATGACCAGCTTAAACTAAAAAAAATATACATCAATATCATTTTTGAAAGCTTACCCACCCACCCATCATCATCATCATCGTCGTCGTCATCATCAACACCTAATCACAATCATTATCATCACAATCACCACAACCGTTATCATCGTAATCATCATCATCCTCCTCATAAATATACCTGACAATGAATTTCATTGGTTGAGACGACTTTACACATGGACCAATCACAGCTAGCGATTTTGTTGCCATTCTTAGCGCTACTATTGCAGCTAAGTATGACATCTTTGTTGCTGTTGTTTGACGGCTTCATTGAGATACTCTTCATGATGGGTAACATGCCTGAAACATTTCTGTTGCTTAGCATGGAAGCCAGAACATCAACCACATTATCTTCATTATCCTGCAACTATTTCAAACAATCATCAATGGTACATACGTTCAATTTCATCCCTCACGTACAATGTTAGTATGATCGTTGTAATCATTATGTTATTGCACTTGTTATTTAAACATTTTATAAATTAAATTTACAAAAAGATAATATAATTTTGTTTAAATCTTTACTGGAATACAAAAATGAAATAAGAATGGAATGAAATAATGAATTGCTTACAATTTTCATGACCATCTCTTTAGTTACTGCTGTCTGCAAGCTTGGATCCAACAAGCCTGGTCTATATGTGTAATGTGCATGTTTCTTTGTGTGCATGTGTCATTGTATATATAAGGTGATATATATATATATAAGATGTGTGTATATATGTATTTGTTCCAGCAGAGCAATATTTATTTGTGCGTATGTGTGTTTATATGTGTGTGTGTATGTATATATATATATATATATATGTGTGTGTGTGTGTGGTGTGTGTGTGCACAAACGTGCGTGAATTTGTATATGTACACAACATGTATACACACATTACCCAACGAGCTAATTACCTTCAAACAATGTTAATCAGTAACAAACAGATTAGACAGAAAGGAAGCAAAAAAAATAGCAATAAAAAAAGGAAATATTGAAAATCTAACATTTGAACGTGTGGAACTTTTGGAGGTTTGACAGGGAATCGATCCTCGACCAGGAATTTCAAGCACCTGTTCAAACGAACAACATCGAATGTTTAATTTACATTTTATCGTGAAGTTTAGAAATTATTGACACGATAGTATCAATATTTAATTACAAAATAATTAATAAAAAAAAAATACCATAAACATTTAAAAAGATTTGCCAAAAAATTATCAACTTATAAAAAATAATGTAAAAAAATTTGACAAAAAATGTTAAAAAACCAAACAAATGCTATAACTACATACAGCATGCATACATAAACAAATTTATAACTATAAACAAACATCAAATAATTTGAGTACATAGTTTGAAAACAAACAAACAAAATTTCATACAAAAACTAACCAGCAGTAGTAGGAAGCTAATGCTATGATGGTCTGTGGAAACAAGTTGTTGACATCAATCTCGGCCAATGGAAGCCTGTGGAGATCCTTGTCACATGTCAGTCGGATCCATTCCACGAGCAGGCTGTGCATGAAGCCTGGTGACAAACTGGAAGAATTTTCATTTGTGATTAAATAATTTATAAAATTAGTATTTTTTTACAAAAAAATATTTAAAATAATTATTCACAATAGTAAAAATAATTATAAAATGAATGATTTATCAGTTGAAAATGAATCATTGAGAAAAATTCATGTCAATTTTCTCAAATTTTATAAAAAATTATAACCAACTAATAATAATAGATAAGGTGGAATGGATGGTGTAATTGTTAAGGTATCTGGCATTGCCTATTTGTAGATACTGGGTTTGAATACAGGGAAATCCTCACCTATAGCGCACACAACATGTGTGTGTGTTTGCGTGGTGTATCGATTAATGTGCATATGCATTAGCTATGGTTGAAACCTCAGAGAAATGCTTCAACAAACCGCTAAAAAGAAAAAAATTTATACAAATCAGAAAACTTGAGTATACTAACTTTTTATGGAGGTATTCCAGATTCCAATTCAGATGTGAGGCAGCCTTCAAAGCAAGCATTTTCAGGCATCTTATTTTGTTATTTTCCACATTATCCCCTAAAACACATGACAGGGCGAGAATGAATAAATAACTTTGTTTATAATTTTGATATGAATGATTTTTTTAAATAAATTTGAAAAATATTCAACTAAAAGCAAATGCAAATTATTTTTCTAAATTAAAGTAGGTAAACAATTTGTAATAATAAATAAAGATAAATAAAATGATGCGGCTATGAATCAGGAAAAAGAGAATTTAAAAAAAATTGCCTAATTTTTTAGCATTCTCAAGATGACTTTCTTCATTAAGTTCTTTAAGATTGCTGGCTGCTACTTCGGCCTGGTAGAGGAAGATTGATATAAGATTCACTGCTTGGCGTTCTATTGAAAAAAATCAATTAATTAAATTGAAAATTTAAATTTAACATAACTCACTAAATCAGTAATTTAAAGAATGAACTTGTATTGTATGTTTATAAACACAACGATAACTGTTAACTGGCACTAAAAAATTAGATGTATATATTAGATTAGAATATTAGATGTGATATATTCTTATATATTACAAATTACAGTGTAATATTATGTAACACTTTTATTAGCTAAGTAAGAAGAAGTATTACAGTGATAATGTTATAATTATTTATTATGTAACAAGTAACACTTTTTTTCAACTCTCTTACAAAAATGAATAATGCTAAATGATAATCTAGTCTTATTACTTACAAGTCTACCAATTACAGTATTACACACTAACCAGAATTCAACTTCTCAAGATGTTCCTCAATTAAATTTTCGTTCAAGAGGTACATGAACCAGGAAAACGATTCTGATCCTCCATCATCCGGACCGCCTCCGTCACTCTGCATCATTGACTTGACAGTGATGGTAGTAGGAGTAGTAGGGTAGGTTAGCTGAGGACTTCTGATGAGTTTACAAAAGCACTTAAATAAAACTAATTAAATGTTTTTAAGAATAAATGTAAATATATAAATTTAATAAGACCATATATCAAATAAAAATATCATTCAAACTAAAAAATAACCAATTTCAAGATTAATAACTTTAAAACGGTAGCGATAATTAAGAACAACACCATAGATTAAGATAAATATTAAAAGTTAAGCCGGATTTTAATCAATGCATTTATTTTATACGCAATCTATTGGAACTTTTAATAAAATATTAAAAATTGAAAAAAATTTGTTAAAACGTAACAGTAACATGATTTGTTAATATGATCTGTTATATGTTCAATTAATAATTAATTTTTTTTGTCTTATACTTCAGGTTATCTCACGGATTTATCTGTATTAGCCGTTATTAATGACTCCAGCATCAACGTCATCAAAATTTATATTAAAAAAATTTAATTGTTAAAATTATTTCTGTTATTATCTTCATCATTTAGGATCAGTGCTGTACCGATTCAACATTTTCATTTTAGGTGTATCTTCAAGGAAGAATCAACGCCTGTTTTCTTCTGCGAAAAAGGATTGTTTGTTTGTCATCTGTACAAAATTTGTTTCGCGTATAAAAATTGCATGCTACTCCGACTAACTTCTTGTTAAAAAAATTTTTGGCCGAGTTGAATCGTATATTCTCAATATATACCTTTTAAAAAATCAAAATTCTGACGAAAGTATAGTTCGTTAAAACATGTGACAAAAAACATGCAAGTAGTTACAGAAAGCTACGTGGACTTCTTATCTTTTAGTCATCCCAGTTAAACGTGTCGTTCGTTGGATTGAATATTCAATAAAAATAAAATGCGCACAGTTCAATTGCGATATCTTCCCAAGAAACACGCACGCAAACACCGCCGATGCGAACGATGATAGCTGCTTGTTTTCTGTGGATACTGGATGGCAAACAAAACCGACAGAGCAGATTTCTACACAAGAGTGAGAAGAGGTCCAGTAATTAATAATCACCGCAAGGAAGCGACAGCGTCGTTGACGTGAGGCGAACGTATATGCACCTTTAAGGCGAAAGTATATGCACCTTTTCCCTGCTGTAATGTTAGCGATCTGATGCTCAACAACAGTGAAGCAAAACTAATGTAATAGAAATACATTAATTTTTATTGTACTTAAAGAAAATAAAAATTTGCAATTAATTCAAAAAAAGTGCGTAAAACTGCAGTGGACTGACCAGAACGATCTTGTCATGAAAACAAATAAATAACATTGAATACATACAAGCAAACAAGAACACAGATACAAGTAGATCAATGAGAGCACAATACTCAAAAGCCACCTCCAGGCAATCATTACTGACTCTCATCACACATCAGTTGCATTTTCACAAAATAAGCGGAAGCACTCGGTATAAAAATAATTAGAGATAGAAAACGACGTTAGAAAAAAGTGCCTGTCAAAAAATATCTAACATTTTTTTGGACATATATCAGGTCCGTTAATTCAATTATTTATACATAAACACGCACACATATACACTCATACACACACACACCAACAATTATATAACATGTGGTCATCAAATCAACATGAAAATAAATTATGCAATCAAAAAGGAATTTATGATTTGAACGAATAATAATAATTTTAAGAAAAAATTTTAAATTACGTGAACGTGATGGCAAAATGAACAATATTTCAAGCATTATTTATTTGTTAATTTGTTATTTATAAATAATAAATTTTATAATAAAAACGATAGAATGAAATAAATGCATCAAAAAACACGATAGAAAAAAATGTGACAGAATCATTCAACGAAATAATTTCTTTGAACATTGGTTGCAGTAGGGCCTATCATTGTGCTCCTTGAATGTTCCCATGTTGAGAGCCTGTAAGCAGAAGGTGCATACAAAATGTCCAGGGTGATACCTTCTGCTCATTGCCATCACGGAAGCTCCTAGTGGTTCAAACAAATTTCCAGTTGAATTTCATAGAGTTGACTCAGAACACATCACACCACATGATTTGATTATGTCTAAGATATTCAATACAAGACTAATTAAACAAAGCTCGTATTTTTTCATTAAAACATTGAATATTTCAACCAATGAATGTACATACATACATATATAGTTTATAGAAGAAGATAAGAACGTGATCTAACCCGTGATGGGCTGCTTACAAGTGAAGCACAATCCCCCCCTCGTTGCATTGAAGTGTCTCTCACAATATGGAAACCCATTGAAGTCATAAAAACTCCCAGAAGTAAATGGAGTTTTACAGTCCTACAGGTTTATTAGATTTATATCAGTATCGGTAATGTAATTATTAATGCTATTTAGGATGCTCAAATGACGTAAGGTTTCAGGTTTGTATCTTTAGTGCCACTTAAACAACAAATAAAACTCTAAAAGAAACCCAGCTACAATGCTAAAAACTTTGTAGCATAGTAAATCAAAAGAATCATACAAAGTACTAACAGTGCAAACAAAGCAATTGTTGTGCCATTTTTGGTTCAACGCCGTGACGTAGTTGCTTGTTATGGTACACCGACAACCGGAACATTTCAAGGCAAACAAGTTGAAAAAATCGCGACTATTTTGTTAACGTGAACGCATATGTATGTACGCACGTAGGAATGTGTTGTGTATGCATGTATATGTTTGTATGTAATGTATGTATTTTCTTTTCTTGTATGTATATAAGGAAATTATGTTTAGTTTATTACAGCCATTATACGTCATTTATAATCTTCATATGTCATAACATAGCCGCAACATGTAACAAGTTATTAGATAAATTACTAAATTTCACAACAACAAAGACCTTCAAGATAAAAAAATATCGTAAACAAATCTGCCAATATGTTTTACGTCAAACCACGTTTTTATGAACGTGCCATTGTTATTTGGTTCTATTATTATTTACTTACATGGCATCATGCAACTTTAATCATCAGCCAAAAACCAAGTAAACCTGCAATATGGTTGTCCCTCCATCTCATGAAACCCCACTGACCCTTCCTCGTCTCTCCCACCACCACCACCAACACCACCAGTAACTTTCAAGACGACTCCACAGTGGTGGCACGAGAAATGATGGGGGTGCCATGTTCTTTCCAGCGCGCTCACGCATTCCTTTGTTGAAATATTTATTTTCACGACGCAGAAATGCATTGAAGTTTAAATGCTCTCTCATGTTGCAGCATAAATAAATGAAATATTTCTAAACAAAAAAAAGTCAATGGTGAGCTATTAGTGGGGAAATATTTCTTAATAAAAAAATCAATGGTGAATAAATATCTTACATTCCAAACACCATTTTTCAATCTGGCATTAAACAAACAGATTAAAGGTATGAGTTAAGTTGATGTTGTAATAAATAAGCTAATTTTATAAACAAAAAAACTCATTATGTATGGTCTAATAAATTCTACAGAGCAATTAAACAGGCGACGTTTCAAACAATTTCAATTGGAAAAAGTTTCAAATACCAACATTAAGTATAGGATCATTGCATGCAAAACACTTGGGACTGAACAATTCGATGTAGTCGTGTTCACAGTAGGCAAGACCATCTCTCTCGTAGAATATGTCGGTTCCTATTTTTGTCTGGCAGTGAGCACATCTGAAGTGATCAACATGCCACAATTTGTCCAGTGCCGTCAGAACGTCTCCTGTTATGTGCTCGTTGCAGAGAGCGCATTTGTTCTCACTCTTTGCTGGTATAACGTTGCTAGTATTATTACCGTTAACGTCTTTTACGCTGCTGTTTTCGTTAATGTTGTTGTTGTTGTTGTTGATGTTGACGAAATATTTTTCCGACTGTATAACCTAGAGAAGTAAAATAAAGAACCAATAAACTCATAATCAAAAATGATAATTTGATAACTTTCAAAGAAAAACCTGTGTTGTTATGTTATCCTCTGATGCAATTGATTTTGGTTGGAGGTGTGTTGTGATTGCCTGCAGATTTGAGTCAAGTTGTTCCGATCGTGAGTTATGTTGTTGGTGTTTCAGTTGCTGCACTTGTTCATTCACAGGTGATTTGGTCACTGAGTCGGAGAACCGGGTGAAGTTGTCATATACATCAAAGTTTGCATTCACCTAAAATGTTATTTTGTTACTATTGCTAAATTTATTCATCACTTCATTTGGGCTAATTGAACTAACTCAACTTACATGCTGGTTGATGTTGAGTTGTGGAGTATACTGTTGTAGTTGTTGTAAATGTTGGTGTTGTTGGTGGTGGTGGTTGTGTTGTGGCAGTTGCTGGTGTTGTATTTGTTGTTGACGAAACTGTTGTCGATGTTGTGGTTGTAAAAATTGTTGTTGTGATTGTGATAACTGATGCTTGTGCTGCTCCGGAACCTGATGTTGCTGCTGATTTTGTTGAAGACCTTGTTGCTGAGGTTGCTGATGATGGTTTGATTGAGGGTGATAATTATGATATTGAGAGTTATTCAAGGATTGTAAATCATTTGATGGGACCAGATTAAGTTCATCCAAAGAATCGTAGACGCCATCACCTGCTCTCTCCTTCTCTTCAATGAATAACTCTTCATCTTCATCCTCGGTCTGATTGAAGTCATCCAAACTATCATAAAGACAATCCACTATTTGTACTTGCTGTTGCTGTTTTGGTTGTTGAAGCTGTGGTTGTTGAAGCTGTGGTTGTTTCTGCTGTTGCTGAAAAAAGTGAATTTTATGTTTTGCTAATTCATAAGAGGTCAATGTCGATGGAGCAGAGATAATTGACTGGAAGGAAGAACGACTTGATGAGTAATCATCGGTTGTGTTTAAGCTTTTGTTGTTGTTGCTTGTTGCATTTAAACTGCTGTTGTTGGCTACATTGTCAACGTTGTTGTTCACTACGCTATTATTTTTTAAATCAAGATGTCTGTTAATTATTGTAGTGGAGTTATCAGCATCAACTCTGAATTCATTCTGAATCGTACTTGCAGGAAAATTTTCATTCTCACTATCATCATACTGTTTTTGGTAAACAGATAAACAATCATATACAAAATTATCATGTTGCTGATGCTGTTGCTGTGAGTTCAAACCTGCTTCATATTTTTGGGATGGTTTCATAGAATTCTGATCAGCCACTAAATTGCTAACATGAGAACATCCATGAAATGTACTAGAGTGATTATAATTTAGTCTGTTGTTCAACATGGAAGTCTGCATGTTGTTATTGTAATCTTTGAAGTTGATGTGATTGTTGCTAAGGTTGTTGTTACTAATTTTGTTCTTGATGTTGTTGTTGTGATTGTTGGTGTAGTTGTTGAGGTCACCTGCTGTCTTCATGTCAATGCAATTGTTATTTTCATCACAATTCAAATGTTGCAATTTGCTTTTCACAGAACTTATGTCACTGTTTTCATCAAATTTTCTGCTCTGATTGACATTTCTGTTTCTAGACAATACATTACAACTGCTACCATTATTGATAGTAGTAAAGTTATTACCAAAGCTATCACTGAACTTATTATTATTGTTGTTATTGACCGAAAAATTTTGAATGCTGTTGTAATTTTTGTGGTTGAAGTTGTTAACATGGGAGAGTTTGTTGGTTGAATGAGCAGCAACTGACATGCCTTCAAAGGAGTGCCTCAACTTTAAAACATTGGAGTCACCACTGATGGAAAGATTTAAAGTTTAAAATGAAATTGTTTCATCATTTAATCATCAAAGATGACGATTGAGATGACGTGTTATGATGTTCTTAAAGCAGTTAAAAAATGTGCGAAGAAAGGATGTGCATTAAATTAAATTAAGATGTTTGTCCTTAAAATTTTTTTAAATTTAATTTTTTGAGTGTTGTGATTTTAGATTTTATTTCAATTTAGGTTTTTTCTTTAGTAATTTTAAATATCAACTATTAATATTTTTCACTGATTTCAAAAGTTCTTAATTGAAATAATGGCCAAAATGATATTGATGTTACTATTGAAAAAAATTGATGTTTACCTAGAAACATTTAATTGAAACATTTTTTCAACTTATATAAAACTTACTATATATATATGTACACACATGCGCGCACGCCAAATCACACGCGCACACACACACACACACACACACACACACACGCACGCACACACGCACCTACATACACACGCTTATTATGCACACAAATTTTACTACTGATGCACAGGCATTTGGATAGAAAGATCTAAAATCAAACACATAATTTGTGGAAAACTTTAGTTGTTGTTGCAAATATTGCCATAAATGAAACGACACTTCAAATAAATTTCAATGGAATGCTATAAAATTTAAGCTAGGAATAAACTAAAAATTTTCGAATTTTTTTAAAATTGCATACATACCTTGTCATGGCAGAAGTATTTGGCTTGGCTGAAAAGATATAAATAACATTTAATAATGCATGCAATAGATTATTTATCCACAATTTTTAATCTAAATGTAATTATCATGTCAGTTAGAAAATGAATGCATGGACATAAAATAACATTCAACATAATTGCGTGAGACCATCAGACGTCACTTGCTGAACTGAATAAATCATCTTGTTTAACAAGACAAATAGGAAAAAACATGATATGGTGCCATAATTAAGCAAAAGGAGCAACAATAACCAATAACGTTAATAGAAACATGGACATTGTTGTCATACTGACCAGGTTTTTTGCGAAGTAGCGTCGAGGAGGTGAGTTCTTCGAGAAGATCATCGAGATCACTGGTGGTGTTGATGGTGGAGGATAGTGAGGAATCATTATCATTCCTCATCCTCCTACTGCTACATTCTTCCTTGTTTCTCCAGTTGAGAGATGATGATGAAGAGAGGGGCAATATGGACATGGATGAACTATCATTTTTAGAATTTTGAAGCAAATTATAAATTCTATCGGCATCGTTCTCAACAAATTGTTGTGATCTACGAACTCTGCTTGTAGTGTGAGGCATATTTATAAGTGGAATGCTCTGCAGATGTGTATTATGATTTTTAACGTTTTTAACATCTCTCACCACTTGATTACAGTGCAACTCATCCACTTCATTAGAGTTCTGTCTGCATTGTTTAGCTTTGTTAATGGCGTAGTTATGTACATGGTTGTTAGCATTAATTTTAGAGAGCAGTTCATTGATGCTTCTTATCTTGTTTGCAAATTGTTGTTCATCACGTACATGAGTGTGCTCTTTACATGACATGCTGGCTTTGTTCTTGGCGTTCTCTTTATCAATGAAATAATCTACATCATTTACAACTGGTTTGTCGATCAACTTGGGTTTAGAAAGTGTTTTTTCATATTTCAGATCAAATGGAGGTAATATGGTAGTTGATATTCGTTCAATTTTGGTCTTGTCAGAAGATTTAGTTTGAACTTTACAAAATTTTCTTGTCTCTACATCTTGCAGAAGAGCATCTGTTAAAAATTTCAAATGAAAATGTATCAAAAACTTTAACTACTGATTCAAAGAAAGCCTAACAAAATGAGTATATGAGTATTTATGCACCAAGCATTGATCATGTTATTTCAAAAGTCTGTTTCAGGCAATTAAATAATCAATTTCAGATGCGCCTAACGCTGAAAACGATATAAAAAAGACAGGTATAATATTAATACATATAGATAATAACTTTAAATATGTGCTCTATGTACATATAAATGATATATAGTTGAATTCCAACGCATAACATTAAAGAAACATACACTGCATAGCACATAACACCACAACACATATGCACAGCCCATGCATGCATGGAGTGAATGAGGCCATTCATTGGAATGAAACCATTATTCATCTATAATGAAAATGAAATTATTCCTCCATCATCACCGTCACCACCATCTTATTAGTCATCATTACTATTACCGTCGTCATTATAAACATCAACGCCATGGCTATCTATATCTTCAATACTATCATCCTCATCACCATCATCATTGTCATCATCATCATCATCATCGTCATCACCAACATCAACATATATGAAATTATTATTTTGACATAGTTCATACGTATTGCATTCCAACTTATTAATAACAATTGCAATAGAAATATTTACATCCATATGACATTACAAATGTGTGCATTCACCACTTGAGCAACAGAACACCATGCTATTAAAACATATATATATACACACGACAGCAGTATCATATGGATGGATCATTGAAAACTTAATGAAGCGGCTTAACGGGAACTTTTTCAAAAAAGTTAAAACATCTTTTTCACCAAGTTGACGATGACAATAAATCACTAACCATATCATGATTACCAAATTTAAGATAATCACCATCTTCATCATTACCATCTTCATTATTGTTATTATTATTTTATGTAATTTATCATGTGACTGCTAAAAATAATGAGTTTGAAGATCGTGAAATTTCAAATTTAAACAAAAATATACATTTCCCTGAAAAATAAAAACAAAATAAAAAAAAATAAAAAAAAATAAAAAAAACACCAAGATGAGAAACAAGGTAAATTCATAAACATCATTATAGAGAAATAATTCTCCTTCAATATTTTAATTTGATATGAATTTATTCAAAGTTAAGTAAATGAATATATGAACAGTTTAACATGAAACAACATATTGAAGCTGCTTGGCATCATTGATGGCATTAACTTACACACACCCTATTTTACAAGGTATAGCTCTCTCTATATATATTTATGACACTTTTTTATATAAAAATTTTACCATTAGAAATTAAAAACCT